GAGAGAGAGAGAGAGCACTCGCTGTGAATCAAAGAACACAAAGAGCTTTGCGATATTTCTTATTTTATGATTAACGTTGTTTCTTTATCCTATCCCATCCCATCTCATCTCTCCTCTTCTCTTCTCTTCTTATCCACCATCCGCATCATCCAGGTCCCCGAGCCCAGCCAAAGCAAGCCAAACCAAACCAAACCAAACCAAACCACTTGATCAAGCCCACCACACGAGACCGCGAGAGAGAGAGGGCACGAGAATACAGGTAGAGGGCTGGCAGGGGAAATCATCATAAAATGACGAGGGCAGCATGCACATCGTCGTCCTCCCCGCTCTCGTCGCAGCACTGGTGCTCTGCACCGCCAACGCCAACGCCAACGCCATAACGAATCCAGACACCTATGCAAATGCAAACCCTAGCAGCACCGCCGTTACGCCAAAATTGACGCCGACGCCGACGCTGAGTATAGCCCCGACGTGCGAGGCCCGGACGGTGAACTACATCACGGATGTGCTGCCGCAGCAGTGTCTGAAGAGCTCATGGAGGAGCACGAACGGGACGGCGAGGGGTACGGAGGGAGCTGGGGGTGGGAGTGGGAATGGGACGCAGACTATCGGAGGGAATGCCATAAGTAGTGTTGCTGGCCAGGAAGTGCCGCAGAGTACCGACGCGCCAGGAAGGACAAGCTCGGTGGAAGTGGCGGATGCAGCGGCAGCAGCAGCGGATCTCGAGACGGGGGAACTGAACGAGGCTTCCTTCTTGTCTTTTGAAGAGTGGAAGAAGCAGACCCTCGAGAAAGCCGGGCAGGCGAACGCGAATATCGGCGGCAAGCGCAATTCCGAGGCCAGGAAGCGGGATTCCGAGAGTCTCCAGAACAACCTGGACTCTCTAGGCGAAGAAGGAGAAATCGATTTGGATTTCGGGGCCTTTAGAAGTGGAGGAAGAGAAGAGGCTATGAATGAAGGGGTCCGGGACCAGGCGCAGGACAATGTCGTAGTGGAGGAGCGCAAGAATGAGCATTATCGCAGCAAGGACGCAGGCAAGACGTGCAAAGAGCGGTTCTCGTACGCCAGTTTTGATGCCGGCGCTACGATCCTGAAGACGCATCCAGGCGCGAAGAACTCCAAAGCGGTCTTGATTGAGAACAAGGACTCGTATATGCTGTCGGAGTGCAAGGCGGAGAACAAGTTCATTATCATTGAGCTTTCTGTGAGCGTCCTTGCGCTTACCATTTGGGAGTGTGTGCTGATGATGAGTAGGAAGATATCTGGATTGATACTGTGGTGCTCGCCAACTATGAGTTTTTCTCGAGTATGATTAGGACTTTCAGGGTTAGTCTCAGTGACCGCTATCCAGTAAAGATCGATAAGTGGAAAGATGCTGGGACATACGAGGCTCGAAACTCGAGAGAGATCCAAGCCTTCCTCATCGCTAATCCTCAGATCTGGGCGAGGTACATCCGCATTGAATTCCTGAGCCACTATGGCAACGAATACTACTGCCCTCTCTCACTTGTCCGAGTTCACGGAACCCGGATGCTGGAAAGTTGGAAAGAGACGGAAGAAGTTGAAACTGGAGAGGAAGAGCAGTTTGTTCCTGATGCTGTGGCCGAGGTAGTGCAGATTACTGAGAAGCAGAAAGCTGCTGGTGAGAAGGTGGCCTGGCCAGCCGATCCGTCTCTCGAGACGACGCACGATGGTGCTGGGAACTCTTCTCAGGAGACCTTGGTGGTAGCCACGACGACCTGGGAGCAGTCTGGAGCTCGCATCTTCAGGAATTCAGATTTAGATGATACTTGCCATACATCTGAAAGTCCAGTTCCAGAACCTGCTCAGACAGCGACTGTCTCTGCAACAAACTCCACAACTGCGTTAACCCAGCCGACCATCCCAGGGGCTATTCCCGTATCCCTCAATGCCACCACGGCAACTGTGCCATCTATTGCCTCTCATACTCCCGAATCGGGAGCGGCCCAGAATGCTATCTCCAAAACCTCTTCAGCTGCATCCTCAAGCATCGCGGCGAAACCTACATCTGATCCTCCAATCCCTCCACCACCATCAGCATCCACCCAAAAAATAACCACCAACTCTACCACCTCCAAGAACAAAACAACCACTACCTCCTCCGCCGCCGCTTCCCTCCCCACTATCCAAGAATCCTTCTTCAAAGCCGTCTCCCGGCGCCTCAACTTTCTAGAGACAAACTCTACCCTCTCCCTAAAATATATCGAAGAGCAATCGCGGATCCTCCGTGAAGCCTTTACCAAAGTCGAGAAGAAGCAACTGCAAAAAACCACGACCTTCCTAGACGCTCTCAATAGTACCGTTCTCGACGAACTACGTCAATTCAGACAGCAGTACGACGAGATCTGGCAGAGCACCGTCATCTCCCTAGAGTCGCAGCGCGACGAGTCCCGTCGTGAGATCTTGGCCATCAGCTCTAGGCTTAACATTCTGGCCGATGAAGTCGTGTTCCAAAAGCGGATGTCGATTGTGCAATCCGTGCTTTTGCTCCTCTGCTTGGCTCTAGTTATCTTCTCAAGGGTGTCAGCGGGCACAAATATCGAATTACCGACTCTGCTACATAATAGATTGCGAGTCTCCTCTCCGTTCCCAATTGAGAGCCCGCTGGAGAGTCCCGGTGAGCGGGAGGGGAACAGGAGGGCCTGGTTAGATGCCGGGCACAGGGGGCGGTTGGAAGATGAGGTGCCGCCGACGCCCTTTTCGGCGTATTCTCATGAAAGTGAGCAGCCGGTTACGCCTCCGTCGGCTGAGGGCGGGGAGGATGTCCAGAATCATACCCATGGCTCAGGCGAACTCCTCCCTAGTACAGAAGGGCATCTCGACTCAGCACAGTCTTCGCAGAATCATACGCCAGCTCAACGCACACCGCCGAACACGGTACATTCCACACCACAACCACACCCTCAGCCTCAAAACCAAACAACACCTGACCTTACAGCCTCCCCTCAGAAACGCACCCCCAAAAAACGAAGGAGCTCCGGTCGCCGGCGAACAGCCTCAACAGCAACCTTAAGAGACGTTGATACCCCCTCTTCCTCCTCAAGCCCAGCACAACCCTCACAGTCATACCCCGACCTGCCTATAATAGAAATCCATAACTCGACACCAATTCGCCGTCAACGCTCCTCGTCCCTTCTATCTCAGATAGACTTGGATTCGTACGCCGAGCTGGAACCACCGCCACCCTCGCGGCCGATGCCTTTCCACCTGCCCTCGCCACCACCCGATGTCCCTCCCAGCCAGGCATCAGAAATCCAGCTTGCATCGCAGGAGAACAGCGAGCCCTTCATAACCTCCCCGCCATCGCCCAAGCCGGAACATGAACGCCAGCGGAAGCACAGCTTCAACATTGCGCGGAAACCGCTCCCTGCGCTACCGCCGGGTGCTTGAAGGTAGAGGCAGATGAATCTCGTCTAATCTTCACTTTGCTCAAGGCTCACGCTTGCTTACCTGGAGGATCAGCTCGAGCTCAAATGGTGGTGGTCCGGGGTTTAGCTGTTGGGAAGCGGTTGGGAAGAGGTGAAGGATGAGATACGAGGGGATGACATGTACATGACCGAAAGGAGACACACGAATGTGAATACAGACAGAAAGACAGACAGACACCTATACATACAGACTACAGACCTGTCATCCCAGTAGAGATGCAGACCGAACGAAAACAAACGAGTCCACGCCAGCGGGCGTAGCCCAACTTCTTACCCAGTACCCAGTGTCTCTCTTTTTTTTTTTTCTCGCGCAAGTCCTTTCCCTTCATGAATTTAACGAAGTAATAGTCCAGCGCAGGATTCGTGCGACTGGCTGGCTGACTAACTCTGCTTTGTTTGGGCCACCAGTAGCTAGCTACCTAGGTGGTACCTCGAGTACTCCTCGGCCCGTACCTAAATGCATGGCTCTATTTATCAAGGAAAGCCCCCCCCCCCCGAGTCCTGTGTCCCGTCCCTGCAGCTCTGCCCTTTGTTTCTTGCGTCGATTTTGGGATCTCGATGTTGGTCTTGACTTTTTGGTGTTACGCTGGACGGTGCGTCGTAAGGCCCGAGAGTAACTATGGACTCTCAACGTTTAAAGAATTCTCACACTAGCAGTGACGATTGAAGTAGAGTCTCGAAAGAATCTATTGCTATCCCGAAGGCTGTTGGCTCATAAGCGCAGCTATGTAAAATTCACCCTATCTAGGAGCCGGGCGCCAGCAAATCCATGCAATATGTAATATCATTTGAAGCCAAAGCAAGTATATTCGAAGTAATTGATGATCTGGTCGAGGATCTCCAGAATGAATCCTCCCCTTCAAAAATTCCGTTCGACGAGCCAGTTTCAGCACGATTTCAAAAGAACGTTCCAAATCGGTCTATATCCGTAAAGCAAAGACCCGCGAAAATGCCACCAAATTGAACCAATTCATCAACACCACCAGAAGAATTGCTCAAGAAAGTAGTTTATCGCTTTAATCTTCGGAACAGTTAGTCTCTCAAACGCCCACCGGGGAGGAATGGAACTTACATGATCCATAACCAAGATACGGGCCCTCATCGTAGAACTCGTCGCGCTCGGCAAGAGAAGTGCCGCGGTCATACTGAGAACGGCGGCGGCGCTGCTCGTCACGGAGGTGTTGGCCGGCGCTTGGAGCGAACAAACCTTTGGTCGTGTCAGTGTTGAAAGTTGAGCAGTGGGGTGGGATTGATCCTACCAACGTGCTCGGCATTCTCACAGCTTCTCTTCAACTTGGAAGAGTTGTCGCTGGCAGGGAATTCCTCTTCTTGGCCGGCCAGTCCGTTCTGATCTTGGTGAGTGTAGAAGAGCTGGCACTGGTCAGTGTAGATCCATATTGAAGGATGAGATGTACTTGCCTTGGGGCGGTAATGAGCGGGCTCAAGCATGACAGAAGAGTTGCGAAACTTTTGAATCAGGCAGTCCCGACCTTGGATGGCTGCAATGTGTCAGTAGAGAACAATGGGAGACAAAGATAACACGTACTGGCGTACGAAACTTCAGCAACCTTCTCACTCTGGAACTTCTTCCACTTCTGGTTGGATCTGGCGCGAACGAACTAAATAACAGGTTAGTATGTATGAAAGATGTATCGCTGGTTCTCCATACCTCAATGATGTGTAGGGGCTGTAGAAGTTAGCTAGGATTCTGGTCTTGAGAAGTGGAATCTAGGGCTTACATCGACGAAATTAATGAAGGCATAGCCGACGCTGGAAGAACTATCAGCAAAGGTCTCTGGGATCATGAGTCATTGTACTTACTTGCAGTTGTTTGAGAAGTCAATGCGAAGGTACATGAAGTCGTACTGGCCGAAACTTGACTCGTCCATCATTGACTTGAGCATGGCCTGATCGACCTTGTTTGGGATGTTGCGAAGCATCACCTTCGGGATTAGCAAAGAGTTTCAGGAGAGAAGAGAGTTTATTGACTTACAGTTGTGCGAACATCGAGACCGGCTTGGATCTTGTCGATTTCAACATGGTTATGCTGACCGCCAACCTGATTGCCTCGACCGCGGTAACCAATCTGGCGACCACCAAACCGAGCACGTCCACTGAAACGGCCATAGTGCTCCTCACGCGGACTGCCAACCATCACTTCATCGAAGTAACGAGAGTCGCCCATGTTACGGGGTGAGTTGAAGACGTTGGCCCGTGGGCTGTAGGACATACTGGATCCATATGCCTGATGGTTCATTGGGGGTGGACCATACGTGAAGCCGTTGGAACTGTATTGAGAAGGAGTCATCGGACCAAACTGTTGCGGGGAGTACATGCCGCCCATCATGACAGGTCCCTGAGGAAAGCTGAACCCGGGAGTGCCAGGCATGTAGCCGACGCTCGAGGCAGGGGTATAGACAATGCTGGACGCAGGCGTGCTGAAGTTGCTCATGTACTGGCCAGTGCCTGAAAGTATAAGCAAGTATTCTACGTAGTTTGAGAATTCCTCAAACTTACCAATGTTCATGGATCCAAAGGCCTCAGAGAGAGACGACTGATCTCCAATGGCAGCACCCGAGCGACGGGTGGGAGTTGTAGCAGGGCCACCGTGCTGTGCAAGAATGGGCGACTGAACATCTGGCTGGTGCTCGGCGAGACAGATGAAAGATGGATCGGCTGGGTTCTGGTGATCGTCAGCATTGCATCATGGATCGGACAATTGGAACTTACACCAACTGAAGTACCATTGAGACGCTGAATAGCTCTACCAGCATGGCAAGCATCCTCGAACTCGGCAACCAAGTGATAGATACCGGCCTCAGTGGCTACGATCTTCTGCCATGCACGGATTGGTCCTTCCACAGCAAGGAGGTCTCGAATCTGAAGCTCAAAAGCACCCTTGCCCGAGTTGCGAGTAGATGGGTACTTGACCTTGAGAACCACTTGACCCTCGTGGGCAGTGTAGGACTGTCTGTGAGGCGAGAAAACCTGATGCTTGTTAGTGGCGTCTCTCACGGGAGGTTGTGAGGACTTGCCTGACTCGCAACGGCGGGCGAGATGTACTCGACAGCGAGACCTTCAGAATCCTTCTGGATTGCATTGTAGAGTGGGATGGAGTCGACAATGTTGCTGAGGCGAATGTATGCAACGTCACCCTGGTTAAGAAATCTGGAACTGCCCTTACACTTGTATCCAGATTGACCAAGCTTCTATAACAAAGTGACCATTAGCATCTGTCAACTCTCAAGTGATGGAGATTAGGAGGCTTGCCTTCCATGCCGACTCAACGACAGGCATGACATCTTCGCTCTTATAGAGGTCGGAGACCTTGATGCATCTCGACAAGCGAGTGCTGGTGGTGAAAGTTCCGGAAGTTGTCTCCAAATCAACCGACGATGAGCGAGTTGGACTTTCACTGCCACCAGCCTTGTCAATGACCTCGTTAAGGTGTTCAACTGTACCAGGGAGAAAGCCAGAGGTGGTGGAAGAAGAACCCATTGTGCCCGAGGACATGGTGACGCGGAATGGCTGCTTTGGTTGGAAGGTAGAGGCTGTGGCGGACAGCTTCTGCTCAGAGGTCTTGGACTTGGAGGCAGAAGATGGACCGAATGGATCATGGTTCATTGTCTGTTGTTGAGGTTGAAGTGGCATGCGCTCAGCAGATCTGTTGGAAGAGACCTTAAATCCCCGGCCATCCTCAGGAGAGAACATTGAAAGATTGGTTTGTGGTGTACCCTGAGCCGAGTCATCTCTCGATGAGGGAGGAGAAGTCGTGTAACGAGACATGTCGGTTGCTTTCTAGAGGGTAGTAAGAGTAGAAAGAAGGCCTTGAGGACGTTAGGGGAATTCCCAAACTGAAAGGTATAGGAAAGTAAGGTTGAAACTTTGCAGATGATAGGAAAGAATTACTGACCAGAGTCCAAACGAGATAGCCTGATACAAGCGTTTGGCAGGAAGATGTGCCTAGGTATGTGCTGGCCCGTAGAACTGACGTTAGCAAGCATTGACAGCAAGTAGGGCTCATGGCTCATCTGAGGAGGGAGGAGCACGTCTGAAGACAGTGAGATGCACGTTATGCAGCTGGAGGAGGTCAATGATCAGGGCCACTGGCCAGTCACTCAGATGCATTGGAAACGGCGCCGCCAAAGTGCCCCCTCTGCTTCTCGGCGGCACAGATAGTGGCGGCGCAGGAGGGCGACAACAGGAATGGGAGGAAGTAGCACGTACCAGTACCAGAGAGGCCTCCGCAAGCAGAAAGATGGCAACGAGAGCCTCAAATATGCAGTTTGCAGTGGACGACCGGTCGCAACCGAATTAGGAGTACTGCTTGACTCGACGCGTGGGGCCCGTAGGATTGACGATTGACCAAGCTGATGGATGGACCAAAGAACCAAAGATCAAAAGGGGAGATATGGCAGAGGGGGGAAAAGAGTGGGAAAGTGACTTGAGAAAAGTTGAAGAGGAAGAAAGGAAGAGATGGAGATGGGAAGGGAGGGAACAGGAGCTTTTTGTAATCGCGAGATTTGGAAGATTTTGGAAGCTTTTGTTCGGAGCTAGTGAGCCACATGGAAGGAGCGACCCAACCCCAATTGGGCAACCGCCACGCAGCATGCTGCAATTACCAGGCATGAGACGACAGGAGTATCCCGCGTGAATGCGGCGAAATTGACAGCTTCGCCGTTTTCAAAGTCTATATTTGCAGCAAAAATCGATGTTTTACAGCACGTTGTCCGGAGATAAGCTGCGGCGATATTAGAAGCACCCACTTAATCTTTTCTTAAAAGCTATTGATGTACGCTGCTCAATAAGAAGGATCCTGTACCTGTTAACATGTGTGATTCTCGAGTCCAACTTTCAGTTCGAAGACTTAATTTTCGACTGGGTAATTAGATGTTATATACTACGTCACTAAATCTTATTATTACGGTTTAGTACTTTATATTTAATTATTGATATCTATGATTTATAAACAAAAAATCAGCATATTTCTATAGTATAGCAAGAAAGAGAGCTAAGAATAAAAGAAAAGTTCTCTAGCATGCTTGATAATTGTTCTTAAAGGAAGGCTGCCTCGCTTAAATGTAATAGATTTCAAAAGACTATCTATCTGCTTGTAATATGCTGATAACCATTTACATAATTAATTCAAGATTAATAATCAAACATTATATAAACATACAATATAAGGCAATATCAGTTTCATAGTGGACGCTACAGTTTGAATTGAATTATTTCGAAGTCGATGCTTTTCAAGATCAAAGCACTTGTGAATATAAACTGTAATAGCTATTGGTACATTCTATATAACAATCAAAAAGCGTACCTTTCTACTCAATAAGACAGGGCTCAGTGAATTTGAAGGTGCATATCGTTTCTTAAGATAATATTTCATAATTAATACTTCCTTAGTCGAGATATTTATTCGTAAATTGATCACTGATCGTTGATATAGATTTTTGCTAAATTAACGACTTGTTAACAAATCATACTAAATAAAGCTATAAATGTTTGAAGCCGAATGCTGTGTTTCTTATAGAATCACTTGGAGGTCAATGCCTACATATGAAATCCTTCTTTAGCTTGGGACTGAAGCGAGCACTCGGCTCAGATTCAATCGCCTTTATTATATCGCAAAGATAACGATACAGCCTTTGCAGCATTTCCAAAGATATGGTAAAGATGGTCGGTAAAAACAATGCTTTATTGCTTTAATCTAATGCTTTCAAATCGATGCTCATAATCACTTTTTAAAGCGCTAATCTAACTCGAACTTCATCGACAGACTTTGTTATAATCGCAATCAGGCTTGAACCGCAAGAAAGTCAGGTACTGCAGCTTTATGTAAAGATTTTCGAGCAGGACACTTTAGTTTTGATTGAAACATTTCGAAATTAATAATCAGTCAATAGAAATTATTTTCCGAAGTTTTTAAAGACTAAAAGCCATTTGTTAAAGTTAACTAATAATACATAGCCTAGCTTAAACACTAGTATCTTAGAAGGCACCAAGAAAAAACCAAAAGGTAATGCTAAGGGTGTGTTTGGCTCGCAGATGCAAGCCAAGTTGCACCACCAAAATATTCTTGCATCTCCAAGTTGCACGTCAAGATGCAAGAATTGCCTCAATCTGTTTGGCTCGTGCACGTAAATCTCGCAAAGTGTGCATCTGACCTTGCAACTGCAGTTGCACCATACAAATCGGACTTTGAGCAAAAAGCTCTAAGTCTCAAGTTGCAAGCTTTTTTCGCCCCCCCCCCTTTTTATTCTATACTCTTTTTCCTTCTAATAATTCTCAACCACGCAACCTTTTCATCATGCCGTCTCCGAAAACCATTCTGAAAAAGCGCAATCTACGGAATCGCAATATTAGAATTATCGTCGCTGCAATTAGAGCTTGCGCCGCCGTTCAATATTATAAAAACAATTTCGCAAAAACGCCTTCTATCGATATCAATAGTATGCCATATGCACTTTTTCTTTTGCTTGTTTTCGATAGTAAAAGCTGAAGGAGTCGTAGAAGCCGATATAGTAAGGGTATTATTAGCAGCGCGCGCTTTTTTTTTTTTCGTACAATAAGTTCCTTAATAGTTTTTTTGACAGCTTTAAACTTAAAAAAAAGACTTGCAAGAAGGGCCTCCGTAATAGCAAATATCGAATCTAAAAGGATCGATATAATAGCGTTATTAATATCGAGTTTATTGCATTGATAAATAATCGATGGTTATAATAACGAATTAATTTTTTTCTTTAAGTCTTAAATTGCAGTTTGCTATTCAATTTGCTAGTTGCGAGCCAAACAGGCCTTGGTTCGTACAACTTCTACTGTCAAGTTGCACGGACCTGCAACTGTGAGCCAAACACACCCTAAGACTGCAATTAATGATATGATTTCTATTCACAACCCAAGGACTTGCTCTCAAATAAAGCTGCTTATCTTTCAGAGGATAAGCTTGGTCTTAATTGGTTGTCCAGAAAACTAGATACACAGGATCAATGTATTGAATCCGGGTATGTAATTTAATTATAATAATAATCAAAAGAGTCTAGAAGCTTGAAGTTTGATCTACTCAGTTGATATTTAGTTTTCACTTATCAGATTCACTAGAAATATAAGTAAAGCTCTCTTTGCTCAGAGATGAAATGTTTAACGCATAATATACAAGTGTTTTTGCAAAATGTGGAAACAACAATTCTGTAATTTTATTTATTACATAGGTATTCAATTAGATAAGCTCGAATCGCTTTCAATTGCCAGGCCAAATAAACGACCGTCACTGATTTGATAGACCTCCCCTGTGCGTGCGTCCCTCCGTCGGTCTGGTCGCCCCTTCCTTCTGTTCTTCTCCATTGATAGCATCTGGAAACTGCCCACCCGCTGTCCCAAATTCTGCGTCGGCCCTGCTTATCTCAGATCTTCGCTGAACGGATCATTCCAGCTGATTCGATATATCGTACGGGTGGCATGGGTCGCAGAAAAGGCAAGGGGGTAGACATTTCAAGAGGGGAAGGGGGCGAGGGGCAGATTTCACAGACGCCGGAATGATGAGGTCGAGTTGCGAGACTGAACCTTGGGACTCAAATAACTAAGGTAGACGTTACGAGTGCTGCCAATTTTCAGAATATATGGATGTACAAGAAGCTCGGATGGCTCAGTGTCTCCGGGAACTAGAAATAGCTATTTACAATCGAGACTCGCTCCTTCCTTTAAATCTAGCTTCTAGAGCTGCTTGTGAAGTAAAAGACTGGTGATTTCACGGATCCACAAAAGAGATGCCGAGAAATGCCACAACACTGGTATGTCCAGCTTTATCATTACGTTGGGCAGAGCTCATCGGTGACTTCAAATTCAAGCTATAGATTTTTCGGTGCAGCAGCCTCACCGCTAAATAAAGGTCTGAAGTATATATACAGAGGAAGACTTATCCGCCGTCAGCTACCAGTATCTCGAACCCGCTGGCTTATCCGTATCTGCTAACAATTTCAAACTCAGCGTTTAGCATGTTGAATTTCACACGACAGGAAAACCCGGTGCGCTTTGCAAGGCCTGTAAGCCCCCAACACAGACGAACTATTCGCCTAATGGACTCCGAGTCAAAAGCATATTTGGAAGACTACGCATAGAAGCCGGGTCATTTGTAAGGGCATGAGAAGCATCTACATACCTGAAATACCTCGCCACGAACAGTGTGTTGCCCCCTTGCCCCCCAGAATTAATGGCCTATTCGATGGAATACATCTACAACAAGCATTGCATGCGGCAACTCTACACGTGGTTGTGAATACTGTAAATCCTTACCAATTTCTCCCTCGCCTCTCAGTGAGTTTCGCGCGCCGGATATGCCCACTGGAGAGGCATGCAATGGAAGGACTACCCTTGGGTCTCCGAGCTTGAAAAGATCAAAGAGCCCTTGGTTGCACCGTCCCGGCCAAAGAGGATGTCTCTTCTCTATCATGAATCCTCTTCTATGAAATGACTTGAAGCCTGTTAAAAAACATGTTACATGTCTTTCAGAGAATAAGGCTCAGTCCAGTGACTCTTCTTGTACATGGGCTTTGATGTTTGGGCTTGCCTGTGAAGCTCTTTGTGTGCCCGACACTTATCAGTCATCCATAGCTATAGACAGTCGCAAGAGTGACTGATGGAAGAACGTTGCCTTCGGATGGAGATCCAGACAGAGCTCAGTGGGCTATGACTATAGAAAAATAATTGTCTCTCATATAGCAAAGAAACATAAAGCAGATGGATACAGATGCATCCAAGTTCGGTGGTTTTGTCATCAGTTCAGATACATATTTAGTCTCAGATCTAGAGTCGTCGTCAAAATAGAGCCCTCGGCTCAACGTGCCTAGGTTTAGCCGGGCCTACCGTACCGTGAAGAGTCTCCGTCAGACAGACAGCAAGCTGCGACTCCAGGATGATTTTGACATGCAGACGCAGTATTATGCCCTTACTTTAAAAATCACTTGCTGAATCGAGGGAAGCTTCTACCAGTCAACATGCCTCGGAAACAAGCCCAATATGATGACTACAGAGTTGCGGTGCAGCAGGCAAGCCTCCCCCTTCTGGAGCCCATCGAACCTCCTTAACTCGAGCTATGTAGATTAATCTGTCCTCCTCTGATACCGACTACCTCGATCAGTTGATCCCCGCTCTCAAGGATGCCACGATCTCCAATAGAACTCCAGGGCTCATGCAAAGCCTGTCCCTATACGCCGAAGCTCGCGAGGCTGACATTGAGCGGATCGGACTGACGAAACACGACGAATTCCTCGCATCCGTCAATCAACTGCAGAAAGTACGCGAGGGCACAGTGCAGCTCACCAAAGAGATCCTAGAACTCAATCAGTCCATACAAGCAAGCACGGAGAAGCTGGCTGCGCAGAAGGAAGCTCTGGTGGATACGAAGGCTGTCCGACAGAACATCGCCGAGGCGTCAGAGGCGTTGAAGGAGTCGCTGAAGATCCTGCATGCGGTTAACCAGGCGGATAATCTGATTCGGAACAAGAATTACTATGCGGCGCTGAAGGCGCTAGAAGACCTGCAGAACGAGCATTTGATCCCTACGATTCAGAACAAATATGCGACTCAGCACAAATTGGCAGATATCATACAGAAGTCTATACCATCCTCGCGAAAGGCCATTTCCGAAGCGGTTATGAACGACTTGAACACGTGGCTGTATCGGATCAGAGAGACGTCGCAGTTCCTGGGCGAGGTTGCCTTCTACCATACCGAATTAAGGCGTACGAGACAGAAGGAGCGGATGGAATCGAATCAGTACCCAAAGAACTTCAAGCTAAACTCTGCCATCGAGCTGGTGTTTGATGAGAGCGAGGAGTTCGATGTGCTGGAAAACGAGGAATTGCATGTGGACTTCCAGCCTCTGTTTGAGTGCCTGCATATCCATGAGGCACTTGGTCAAAGTGACAAGTTCAAGCAAGAATATGCGGCGACACGAAGACGGCAGAAGGAACTTTTGCTGCCGGGTAGTATCGATTTGATGGAGGAAGATGAGCAGAGTTTGAGCAGTTTACTGGAAGGTATTGCTGGCTTTGCTATCATTGAGAAGGCTACTATGAGACGAGCACATAATCTAAGATCCCCGGTTGATGTAAGAGATTCTTCTATCATGTAGAACTCATTGCTGACAGTCAGAAGATCGATGAGCTCTGGGATTCGATGAGTCAGACTGCTATCAATTTGGTATCCAAGGCTTTGGACAGGGTCGACAATGCGGAAGTACTACTTAAGGTTAAAGGAGTGGTCGCTCTCTTCATCCAGACGATGGACGTAAGTGCACGCTCATTATAACCAGAGATCTTGCACTGACAACCAATAGACATGGGGATACTCTGTGGTTACACTGGACAACTTCCTTCTGACGTTATTCGAGAAGTACGCCGAGCTTTTGAAGAAGAGATTCAGCGACGATTTCCAAGAAGTATGGGTGATATCTTTGTCTTTATGAGAGCACCACTGATCTGTGCCAGATTGTTGCAAGTGATGACTACATGCCAATGCCGGTCAGCAATATTGATGAATACGACAAAGTAGTCAATGTTTGCTGGTTCACACCAGATAAACCCAGAAAAGAACTCAGGTCAGTTTATCCAGACGCCGATCTAGAGGCTCCAGCTAAATATACCATAGTTTCCCATGTGTACTTCCATTCTCTCAGATGTACCCACTCTGCTGTATCGACATCCGGAATTTTCTAAACCAATTCTACTTTTTCTCTGATGACCACTTCCAACATCCAAATGTCATCGACGAAGCTCTCAAGAAGGTAAAAAACACGCCACTATAGATTTTCAGATCGGAGCTAACACTGCGACAGTCCCTGGACCAGCTGCTTCTGGAGAAAGTATGCATCTCCTTGATTGAACGACTGAACTCTCAATACCTAGGCCAAATCGTCCAGATTCTCATCAATCTCGAGCACTTCGAAACCGCCTGTCGAGAACTCGAACAACTACTCATTGCTGCCCGATCTTCGACTTCGGCCGGTGGACCTATCGTCCTGGAAGCCACCGAGGTGTTCCGCAGCAATAAGAAGACAGCCGAGAAGCGTATTTTTGAGCTCGTCAATTCCAAGATTGATGATCTGGTAGAAACGGCTGAATACGATTGGATGGCAAGCACACTCGAGAGCGAGCCGAGCAACTACATGCAAACGCTAACGCAATACCTTTCTAACATCATGAGCTCTACTCTGCTTGGACTCCCACGTGAAATCAAAGAGTTGATTTACTTCGACGCCCTCTCTCATGCCGCGAACATGATTCTCGTGCGTTTCCTGCCCCTTGTCCCCTATCTTAAGCACTCTAACGGACAGACCCCCAGGCCCTCCCACTCTCCCCAGACGTCAAGAAGATCAATCCCAACGGCGTCGCCGCCCTGGCCAAAGACGTAGACTACCTCTCCGACTTCGTCGACACGCTCGAAAACGCTCCGATCCTCAAGGAGAACTTGGACGAGCTGCAGCAGACGGTGCTGCTGATGCAGACGGAGAACCCGGACGACTTTTATGACGTGTCGATCCGGAACAAGAAGTTTGGACGCGTAGACGCGCTGAATGGGCCGAGGATTCTGGAGAAGTACGTTCTGCCTCTCTACTATGGGCTGGTTATGTAATGGGAAATGTGCTAATCTAATATCGTACGTAGGATTACGCAGTCAATCGTGGCGAGCCCGTCCAGGACTGATCGACTTGCGAATTTCTCTTCAAGGTTTGGGATGAAATGATGAGTTTGTGATGCCAAATTCACCGCTTATTCAGCTCACTTCCAATGCCCGAGTAGTCCAATCCGATCTGGTTCTCACTACGGACTTTGTTCCCGAATCCGGGAAGGGAAGAGTCATTGTCATCACATTCACCTCACTTGTGAACAATAGGACAGTATCCGATATCCACAAGGTTTCTCAAATCTGTCCATAGACCGAGACCAGCGCCAGAAAAGAAATCAGCCATAACACGTCCCATGGGTACTGGTAAACCTCTAAACTCCATCCCGTCATAGAAATTCGTCTACCGTCGTCCACGATATCCTCGACTCCCAATCTGCCACTTATCCAAAATCATCACGCTCGCCCTCCGCATCGGCCTCGCCTTCTCCTCCGTCATGGCGAGAGTAGTTGTGGCCAGGATCGGGACCTATGGACGGGTCTTGAGGTCGGTGTTGGGAAGGCATTTGGTACATGTTCTCCTGGCTGTTAGTAACAAAATTCCCAGAAACACAGGAAATTCAGGAAATTCCGGAGTACACATGTAGGTACGTACCTGCTGAGGCGGCATAGGAGGATATCCGCCATATATGCCCTCCATGTCACCGTACATGCCCTGCTGTGGCGCACCGCCATACGAGGCCGATGGACCAGCCTGAACCTGCCCTCCGTACATATTCGGCTGTTGGCGGTAGTCCTGTTCCTGTCCAAGCCCATGGATAGCACCGTATTCCGGGGGCGGCATGTGACCTTGCTGCGGGATATTCTGTTGTGGCAATTGGGTCCCAGGAACGGGAGCGCTGGGCGGTGCATGGCCCTGTGCTCGCTTCGTTCCGCCGCCGTGGGCTGCGTCATCGCGAGGCACGATATCGATCAGGAAGTCGAACATGTCGGACTTGGCCAGCGCGCTCGCGATGTCGGAGCGTTGCAGTGTGCGGCGCTTGTTCTCTTCGGCGTGGATCCAGGCGCGCATGGTGAGCTCAGTGATGAAGATGTCACAGCCCTTGGCGAACAGGATGGGTGCTTCGGCGGAAATCATCTTGACGTCCGGGTCGGCCTTCATGACTTTCTTGATGCGGGCGAGGGGCAGCTGGTGGAGCTTGTAGTCATGGGCCTCGGTCTCGAGGTGGTTGATTACGTGTTGCCAGTAGGTGGTGAGGATGTCTTTGTAGTTGCCGTGGAGGCCTTGGTTGACCTATTACTGACTGTCAGCTGGGCTCCAATCGGAGGCTGGAGGCTGGAGGCGCAGATAGAGCAGTAGATGGCGCAAGGATTAGAACGTACATTTGCCCAGGCACCAGTGTAAAAGTCCGCAACTGGCGCAAATCCTTGAGCAGCAATCTACCCTTCACATTAGCTTGTTAATCTCTCTGCCCTCCCTCCCCAATTGTTCATTCAATGTGAGTGATAAGTCCTTACCGCAGAACTGGCACCTGGCAAACAAACGCGCATTAGCCAATGATCCCCTCTCCATTTATTATGCGCCCTTGCCCTCTCTCGCAATCTTCCAGATTCCCAAGGTATGATATCAAGAAGCAAACATACCATAATGGCCCCCCAGGCCTATGTCGTACCTAGGCAAGGTCGACCGTTGCTGCTGCTGCTGCTGCTGCTGATGCTGATGCTGTCCTACTCCCTGTTGCTGCTGGCCGTGCGACGAGCTGGGTGGTTGTTGATCCATTGTTGCGGGTTTGTATCTTCTCCTTCCCGTCCTTGGTGCGCGCGCTCTCTCTCTCTCTCTACTCCGTAGTGTAGGCTTTCAATTCTCTGGTTCGTTCAACCGTGATGCGTTTGCGCCTGGGTCGAAGCGGCGCCGGATCGATGGTTCGGGGGCCTGGCTATACAGCAGCTTCCTTCGTCGCCTTTTATTTTCCTCTCGCCGCTCGCCGCGCGATTCAATGGGCTCTCGAAGGCAGCAGATGGACGGACAAGCTGTCGCGCGACTTTGAAGCTTGTTGATAGCTCTGTATTTTTGGGGGATACAATTGATTGGTCCTGGACGATTGGTGTTGAGTTTGCGATGTTGAAGGGTTGGATCGGAGGGTTTGGGTTTGGGTAAGGTTTGTTTGGCTGGTCGGGGGGGGGGCCTTTCATCGGCTCGCTTAGGGTGATGGATGCGGTGCTGTGAACCCTGGGATTCTTGGTGTGAAATGGATAGGATAGGATAGGATAGGATAGTAATGCAGGACGAGCCACGCCACGGAGAGCAGGTAAAAGGTGTGTATATATATACCTTATAGGTATATATACATAGATCATAAATGCATTGGCATGGAAGTGGATGCAGATGCAGATGCGTTGTCCTCCAGCATCTGGCATCTGCATCATCATCATCCAAGTTTCTTATCCTGCCCGCTGGCTGCGCGCTGGCTGTCCGCTGCAAGGCCTCTTTGCTTGCCTGGTTGGCAGCTGCTGCCCAAGGTCCAAGGTCCAAGGTCCAAGGTCCAAGGTCCAAGGCCCAGGGCGGCTGGCAAGTTGGTGAGGGCGGAAAATCCTTTGACCGAGACCGAGACCCAGACCGAGATCAACATGTTGGAGGTCCAGGTCCAGGTCCTGCGCTAAACATGGCGCTAGAGGACTTTCAGCCTAGCGGTACAAATTACTCGCAAGACGTTGAAAACTCCGATCTTGACTTGTTTCTCGTTTCTCTCTCTCTCAACATGCCTCCCACCTCTTCAACTCCAACCACCATGGCGGACCAGGATCTCTCTGACGAGCAGGTGAAGCAATTGCTCAAGGGAGCCGAGCAACGCTTGAGGAACAAAGGGAAGCAGCTTCTACTCCCCTCCAACTCTTCTCTGCAATCAAGGTACGCTCACCCACGTCCAACCAAATAACTCCGAGTATTTGTACTGACCCTCGTAGTCTGCCCAGCATTCATGTCGAGAAGTCAGTGCAGCCGTACATCAAGGCGACCGATCATGGGCCTCAAGTGGATCGCTCCCACCTTGTGACAGAACAGCAGCGCAAGCTTGCAAATGGCATCCGCGTTGTCGAAGATCCTATTGCTATCAAGAAACGTACTGAAGAGGTAAGAAAATTTCAAACCCATCTACGTTCAATTGCGAAAGCACGCATTTCTTCTAGGAGGAAAATTTCCAAAAATTACGTGACGCAGAATCGGGTCCCGTCTTGGGACTCTCCTGCACCCCATGATGTCTTATTATCATAGTTACACTGAGAAGAACCAAAACACTTGCTCCGCTGTCTGGCTTTTGTGCCGAGCCCAGCTAACAGAGAAAAGGAGAAGAAAGCCACTGCCGGTGCTGACTGGTTCAACATGCCCCGCACCAATCTGACGCCTGAACTCAAGCGCGACCTACAGTTACTGAGGATGCGAGATGTGCTTGATCCTAAGAGACATTACAAAAAGGAGAATCGGAAGCAAGCTGTTCCGGAGTACTCTCAAGTCGGCACGATCATCGAGGGACCCACTGAGTACTTCAGCTCGAGGTTAACAAACAAAGATCGCAAGAGAACATTGGTTGAAGAGGTCTTGGCTGGGGAGAAGGCTTCTGGTCGATTCAAGAGCAAATACAATGAAATTCAGCAAGCGAAGACCAGTGGGAAGAAGGCGCATTACAAGAAATTGAGGGATGCCAGGAAGAAGGGTGTTCTGAAGCGCTGATCAGTGTTGATTATCGGCCGTCCGAGCGAGAATCTGCCCAAGACCATCGTCGTCGCCCTGGGACATAACACCTACATTTTATCGCCACTACCCATGGATTTGATATCTTGATCTCAACAATCTCGAGGACTTCCCGGCTCCATCTCGAGACTTTGCCCAAACATTGGCGCTGCCTCTGATCACTCCGAGTCTTTCACCAGCCATACCCCGGGAAATCGGACACAACCATGCCTCGACCATAACTTCAGGTGCGGCCGACATCCCAACAAGCTATGCTCTTAAGAAAAAACATTCTACTCGAGTTTCGCGGCTCACACTGGTAGTATGATGTGAGTGTTCCAATATGGATTATTACTATGGCAGCCAAAACGCACAGATACCTTCGTGCACCGGCATCTGCGTTGGGCAGCCCTTGCTTCTTTCGACGCTGCGTGTACTGACCAGTATAGCCCGAGCTCATGCATCAGACAAGGCCAATACACGCAAACTTGAGCCTGGAAAAGTTGATGTGCTTACAGGCGAAATTTGTCGAAGACATTCGATGCCACCACATGGCATTTATGACGAGTCAAATGTAAGCAAAGGTCGAGCACCTATGTGGCGCCCGGCCTATCATGATGCTGAATTACACGAGTTTAAATCCTCGAGCGGCAGACTTTGGTGGTGTTTGCAAACCCCAGCCCTTGAAGAGGCTGCTTGTGTCGGCAATTCAATGCTACCTACAATTAAGGTAATTTGGTTTACCCATCTGCTCAATCGCAGCAGTACTGCTGCACTTCTCGCTGCCAGCATAACGAGGATCTGTTATAGCAGACATTCCATGTAGTAGATAAACACAATTCAATTCTTTCGAACAGAAACACATATTGAGAGTGATACCTTCCCTCCAAAGTTTTTCCTAGGACTGAGCTGCTCCGACTTGACAGCCTATCTGTATTGGCCTCATAAGGAACCTCGAGCTGGTCAGGATGGTTTCAATCAAAGCATTTAATTATTGAGGCTCCAAATGCCTATCCAAAGAATAAATTTCAACCTTTGACGACTTTCATAGTAGTTTGGTCTAGATCTAGAAACGTAGCCGGGCGTAAATAATACATGTTTAAATAATTTGTAAAATGTAAAACTGGACATGAGGCTGTCTTCAATTCGGACATGAGGCCCGCTTATGACCGAGCCGAGAAATATTTTGGGATCAGCTTCAACACCACGACCCTCCTGCACCGCAACCAGCACATCATGGCGACAGCGACTCCCTTTCGAATACCATGGCGGGCAATTGTGCGCTCAGCAGTATTACACCCTCTACTGCGAAGACTATGCAATCGCTAACTGCCCCCTAGAATATACCATCTACGAGCCCCATCATAGCCCTACACCCAGCAACAGTCTTCCCCTCTTCGCGCCGCCAGTACGCCTCGCAAGAGATTTCAGATTTCTTGAAGAGCTCTTCGTATGCGGAAAGAGTGCAACTTGTTGACGACAGCCTTGGCGAGGGCATAGAAAAGGCAAAAGCGTAGGAAGCTCCTGAGCCGCCTTGCACGACGATACATATACATAGATCAAATCTAACGATATTCTATTGTAGACGCGAAGCAGAAATCCCACCAGACCCTACCCTATCTCCCGAAAAGGCTCTGCGTCTCCCCCGTGCCGTCCAAGCCGCCTACCTACGTCCCCTCCGGCGCCAACCCACCTACGGCGTGCCGACGTGCGATCTCCAGCTGCGTTCCTACAGCATCCGCAACCTCGAGTTCTTTGCTGACTTCGCGCTGCGCGCAGCCTACTATCTGGGCCTCCCTGCCTACGGGCCGGTGCCGCTGCCGAGGATCATGGAGCGGTGGACGGTGCCGAGGGGGTCGTTCATCCACAAGAAGAGCCAGGAAAACTTTGAGCGAAAGACGGTCAGGCGCCTTATTCAGATCAAGGATGGGGAAGCGGAGGCGCAGGAGTTGTGGTTGGCGTTTTTGAGGAAACATGCTTATTATGGGATTGGTATGAAGGCTAACGTTTGGGAGTTTACGAAGATTGGTAGGCCCCTTTCCTGTCCTGGTGTATTCGTGGCTTTGCATTTGGAATGGGCATTGATATGTTTGAGAGAATTCTGGCTAACAGTGCGTTTCCAGGTGTTGGCAAGGAAATGGATGCTCAAGTCGAGGCTATGAGGGGCGATTTGGAGAAGACGCTGGGAAATTTTGCGTTCAAGAAGGATTCCGAGACTGGCAAGAGGGCTATTGAGGTTATCAACAGGCAGAACTTCAGGATGGCACAGGGTGGAAGTGCACCTATGGCTAAGAGATGAGGAGGTCCAAGAGACAGACGGCTAGTGTTGTATGACTTGAGAGGGCATCAGGAAATGTCTGGGTAGATAGGCAGACATCCGTGAGGGTTCATTGTAGGAAGATCTGTATTGTAATGAACAAGAACCACATTCAAGCCACCACCATTCGCGAATTCTATCCTTTTCTCCATCCCTGTCCATATAATCTCGAGAAGCCCTTGCTTGATCGTCAACGTGAATGGATAATTCTATCGCAATCACGTGTCCATATCATAGAAAAGTCGTCTATCTCATCGCTTCATCTCATATCGCGCCAAATCCTCCATTGTAGTAACCAAACTTCATATCCTAATCCCACAATGTTCGCTCTCACAAAACACACCCGGCTATTGGAGCATCCCCTCCGCTCCCTCCTCATCCAAGCCAACAGACCTCCGCTGTCCGCTTCCACCCTGCAACGATTCTCATCCACCTCATCCACCTCATCCACATCGACAGCAGCCTCCCATTTCCCAACAGCAAACCCATCGCCCCCCCAAACCATATTTTCCGGCATTCAACCAACCGGCATCCCGCACCTCGGCAACCTCCTCGGCGCCCTGCGCACCTGGGTCGCGCTCCAAGACGCCGCTGCGCCCTCCACGAAACTGCTGTACTCAGTCGTGGACCTGCACGCCATCACGCTATTCCAGCGGCCGGAGGAGCTGAGGCGGTGGAGGCGCGAGGCGCTTGCGGCCTTGTTGGCGGTGGGGATTAGGGAGGAGAGATGCGCTGTTTTTATGCAGAGTCAGGTAGGTGAGTGGGTGGGTTTGCGCGACTTATATTCGGTGCGCGGTTAGTTGCTTGTGGGTGGGAAACTCCTCTCTTTGGATATGAGTCTGTGGTTGAGGGCTATTTTGGGGTTTCGAGGGTGGTGGTGTTGCAGATGGGGCTTGTCTTTTGACTTCGCGGTAGGGAAATTGACCTGGTTGTAAGGATGGATGGTTCAATGAAGTCGGTTGTTCGAGGGCTGATCCTGAGTGCTTGTTTGTGTTGGAAGTGAGCGGCGTATTATTATGAGATGGGTAGTGCTAACGAACGTTCTTGTAATAGGTACCAGCGCATTCGGAGCTGATGTGGATTTTGAGCTGCACGGCTAGTATGGGCTATCTTTCTCGGATGACACAGTGGAAGGTGCGTATCCCTTGGTTTGAAGCCCTCACGGCACTATTATATGTACGTATCTTGACATGAAGCACAGAGTAAGCTGTCTTTGGCGGACAACACATCTCCCCTGGATGAGAGCAGCAAGTCTAAGCTCAAGCTGGGACTCTTCTCGTATCCAGTCTTACAGGCGGCCGATATCTTGGTGCATAGGTACGTGATTCCTGCTGAAGCCTCGAATAGATGAGACGTAACGAGATGAAAGCTAGAGAAAGCTGAAATTGAAACGTTTTAAGAATTCGCTAACATATGATTTTGAAAAGGGCTACCCATGTTCCAGTTGGCGAAGACCAGAGTCAACATCTCGAGTTCGCCCGAGAATGCGTGACGAACTTCAACCACACTTACGGTGGCTCGCACCTTGTTGCTCCACAGACGATTCTCTGTGCGCTCTATTCTCTCGTTACAGCTCTCAATCAAGTCCAGATTACTTTCTCGTTCCAAATTGCCTTTCGATATTTTCACTGACTCCGACACAGCCCCTACAAAGCGCATCATGTCCCTTAGCGAGCCTTTGAAAAAGATGTCCAAATCCGCCCCCTCACCCCTCTCCCGCATTCTCATAACCGACTCTCCCAGCACCATCTCCCAAAAAATATCATCCGCCCTCACTGACTCCGATAACTCCGTCTCCTATGCCCCCACCGAACGACCCGGCGTCTCCAACCTCCTCACCCTGCTCTCATCCTTCGATTCTGAAGGTCGCAGCCCCCAGGTATTGGGTGATAAACTTGAGAAAGAGGGAATGGGCCTAGGAGCGTTCAAGAAGCTTGTGGCAGGCGCTGTGAGTGAGGGGTTGAGTGGTGTGAGGGGGGAGTTTGACAGAGTTCTGAGGGAGGATGGGTACGTGGAGGAGGTAGCGAGACGGGGGGCGGCGAGAGCGAAGGAGAGTGCCGAGGAGACTATGGTGCTGGTTAGGGATGCCGTTGGCTTGTGAGGTTGATGCGTAAGGAAGGGGAAGCATTGTATGATAGATGTATGAACAATTTGTGTGTATCCATAAGGATCGGCATCATACATAACAAACAAGAAGTATAGAATTCTTTGAGCAAATATCCAGAACACTGTAATTCCCACCTCCTAGCCCATTTTCTCCCAGCGGCAAGGTCAAAGTAGATAAGCAGCCACCTATGAGAGCGCGCAGAAACAAAAGAACAAGAGGAAAAAGAAAGCATTGCTGGCACCAGAAGCGCAGAAATCCCCATTCGCTCCGGCTTACCCGCGGCCCGTGTCCGCCACGCCGGACAATCGCCCATTACACCTCGCGCCAGACCACGATCACCGCGTTCCACCATTCCGTGCCACACAGCCAGCACCAAGGACTTCCACACAATACCGACAGAAATCGCGCGGCTAGCGCTCGCCCGCTTGCGGAATACGCGGTGTGGAGTGTTGTTAACGAGCTATCAAGTCCGCAAGTAAGTATTACTACTAGTACGTTACTTCAGTTGTATTCAGCCGCTGAATTCCGTGCAAGAGGGGCGGGTGATAGATATACACTAATCCGGTAGGCTTGCTAACGCTATCTATGACTATCTGTCGATGTATGTAGGAGAGAGAGAGTACCGGCGCGTACGTGCTGTATGTAATGTGGTGTGATATTTACGAGATTCGCTTGATTGGATTTTTGAATGTTGGTTTTGTTTACTTGTTTGTTTACTATGCCTTGCTTGGGCTTCGCTTGCGCGCTCGGCTCTCCTCCTACACTTCTCTTCTCTTGATTTAGCCTTTTCTCGCGATATGGCATCAGGCAGTTGATTGAAATGGGACGTCTCACTGAGTGAGTGCATAGAAGAAAGACGTTTCTTCGATTCGTGCAGGAGAAGAGAAGCGTGAACTTGGAGTATTTTTCGTTGCTCTATAAAATACCCGAAAGAAGAAAGAGTTAAGCTATGAGTCTCCGGTAGTAGCGACGGTAAGTAAGCTACGCTATATCAGATAGTCCTTGCTAGCATCATATTTTCATATCATCATATCATCATATCTCATCACCCCATCTTCATTCCAGTAGTTCTTTGCCATACCAAGAAGTCGGCTCATTCAAACCTCGATCGCCTCGATGATCCGCCACGGAGGTCTGGCGAGTACCGGTCACGCTTCTTCTGCTTCTTTTCAAGAGCAGAACGGGGCGGGGCGGGGAGAGTATCACAGCCGCAGACACAGATACATGGTCTGCTTGCCAGGCTGCCTGCTGCTCCTCGTCAAGCCGGTAGCTATCATCAAAAGTAATCTGGGCGGCAGTGACCCCGTCCACAATACTCATGTCGTCGAGCCGATCTCTGCATGGATCAGCCACTGACATGGCAGGAAATATGCCGTACGGCTGATGTTCATGGTCAGATTTTGCTGGACCGGCAGCACCCTCATCCAGACCATTCGGATGGCCCCCATACTCGTCTATCGGCGCAGCAGACACTTCGCCATCTGACCGATCTCCATTCTCAGAGGCTACCACAACGCCAGCGCTCTTGTCACCATTGCCCATACCCACGCGAGGTCACGCTAGCATGCTGAAGAAGCTCATCCCTCAGCTCTTCCGAAAGTTTCTTGGCATGGTCCTGCAAGTTCCGTATGTATCGTCGACCTGTTCTAAAGCCCTGGAAGTTGTCAAGCGTGACGGAGTACGAAGTCGCTGTTTTGTGGTAGTCCATACGGCCCCGACTCTCAGAAGAGTGGTGCGCAAAGGTGCGCAGAACAGTTCCGTCCGTCGTAAAGGTCTGGATATATGCATGCTGAAGCCGATCAGGCTTCCCTAAAAAATCACGCGCCACGTTTCGGCCATGGGTTAAACAAGCACCATCGTATGCTGCTTGTCGTTCGGCCTGCCTTAGGTCTTTGCTATGAGCTTTCTACTCTCCTGCAATATGGGGGCAGCATATCGCTTTCCGATGATCCAGATTTAGGACAGCGGCTCCTCCCAGCTGGCTCACCATGAAAGGATGAAGCTGTGTCCGTTTTGGTCCTTCAATCATGTCTGGCTGGGCAGGGGGAAGGTCGTCGTTAAAGCCAATATTGCTGGGAAAAGGCTTAGCTGTTGACTCTGAAATAACCGGGTTGGCGATGATGCTTAAGCAAGGAGTAATCGATTTTCTTCAAAATCGAGACTCCATTCTCCACACCATTTATTCTCTCGGAGAACAATTCGAAGTCCGATTCTGTTGGCGATGCGGAACCTCGAGTTTCTTTAAGGCTCTCTTTCAAGGCGGTAAGGTCCACGGGCTCTTCAGACTCGTCCGGGTATAGAATACCGCTTTCTCGGGCTGCCACGGGAAACTTTGAGTCCGACGACGACGTGGTCCGTTTTGTCGTCCCAGACACCGTCCCCGTTCCAGATACAGCCGCACCTTTTCTTCTCTCGGCCCATAGTGTCGAAAGCCTTCAGATTCCTTCTAGTGAGGCGAGCCCGTCTGGGAAGTGGGCCAGGCTCCTCTTCAACGGCAAAATTCCTATCCTGGAAGGCTTGGAGCTTGAGTCTAGGCAGAGTGAGCATCTTTATCAATGCGACGGGGGAAATACGAACCTGATAGTTGTTCAGCGGGCGGAGGCATAGGATTGCAGTTGCAGGGGAAAAGAGACGGACCCGTTAAAGATAATCCAATCCATTAACTCGGTTCCATTTCAGGTATAAAACCGTTGAATTGTAGGTTTTGATTCCAATTCAGCTATACGGAGTAGACCTGGGGTGATCCACCAGCCATGCCAACCTCTTGGGACCGTCCTTAAAAGAGATCGTCATCGGATGATCAGCTGACCGTTTAAAGAACTCCCTACCTGCCTTTGAAGACGATGCTATTGGCAAAAGGGATTTCTTCATTTTAACCGTATCTTGTCTATGATAACTAATAAACTGTTTTCAATATTTAAAACCAGCTCTTTAGCAAGCGTGGTTGAAATATTTAAACGAGGACGGCTATAGGACGTCGAAGAAACGGTTTCTTTACTTAACAAGACGGATTATTCAGTAAACTATTTTAAAATAAGGCTTCGAACTAACTTCAGACGGTCCAATGACCGTCTTTTATAAAAGAAGATCATTGGACCGCTGAAATGACCCCCTACCTGCCTTTAAGGTGGTTGTAATTGGCAACGCTTAAGCTTAGTAAATTTGACGTTATATTTGGGATGATTTTCGACATGGGGGACATATACGTAGTACGTAGGTAGGTATGCTGGCCGCACGAATAGGAATTGCAACTACGGCTACTAGCAGCGTAGAATCTGGTTTAAACAAATCTATGGCAAGCCGTGAGCGGGGGAGGCGGACAGCAGCGAAAAGTGGCCGATTGGCAAGAAATGATGGCTAAGTATCAGAATCTTTCAGCTTCGAGGAGCCAAAATGCTCCGCTTCCGTACGTACTACAACGCTGGATTCTGCTCGCTGAGTCATCCTTCTTCTTCGCTTCTCTACCTTCTGGCCCACCGCGCACGGCTTGCCATGGACTCATTTAAACCAGATTCTACGGTAGTAGTAAAATAGTAAAATTAAATATGATATATTAAAGATGCATATCTCTCGTTGCACCTTCCTTAGATTTAATTCATCGTCTTCTGTCACTCCTTCAAAACTACTTCGGACAATCGTCGGTTCCGCTTCCCTCTTACCTCTTTCTCTAACTTGGCTCAGAATATCAATAACAGTTGTTTACAATCTATAAGCATAATGTTCTCATCGCAATCTGTTTGCTCGACCTTGCTAGCATTGGGCTTCTTCTTTAGTAGAGCTCAAGGAAAGGAAATCATCGGCTATGGAACAGCTTCCCAAGTAAGTTTCACTTGATTTATACTTAGACGCTATACCCCTTTCTACTTTTGACCAGGGAGAACACTTTACCGCCGTACCGCCGTTTTGAAGCTCCTACTGAGAATGCGAGTTATAGAGTGAAGCCGAGACAATCAATAGGGAAGAAAAGCCTTCTGATGCAAATGGTCAACTAGGATGGGGCTTATATTTGAGTGAGTTGATTTATATCCATGAACCGTCACTTGGTTTGGACTAGGCGGAGCTCATGATCTAAATAGCGGACGTACCTCCTCGCCGGTCGCTTTATAAGAATCCATGGCACTGTGTTGTCAAAGCGAACGTGGATAAGATCAAGGATCTAAGCAAAGTATGGATCCCAGAGTCGTACGATCAGATTACTTTCACTGGTAGACGGCCCACGCAGTTATGGTACGAAGACGAAGAGATTATTATAGAGTACGTCGAAACCAAAGTGCCAGACCCGAAGAAGGCTTTGCGCTTCACACATAACCCAGAAGACAGTAGCAAGCTGAGAATGGTCATTCCAACCGACTTGATGCATGACGATGATTTGGGCTTATGGGCTCGATGCTGGGAAACAAAAAACGAGCTGATGGATTATTCGCGCGGCGAAAGCCTTGATTGGACGGATTGGCAAATTGTTGGGTTTCCTAAGTAATATGATCAGAAGAAAGTGGCTCGTTGACTGTATATTAGCTGTGTATTAGAATTCCTGATTCTTGATAGCAAGGTCTGGACAGCTAAGTAATTTGTTATTGCCATTATTATATTCATCAACGTCGGGCGAGTAGCAAGCGAAGCCTGCCGCCCTAGGACCTCCCATAAGGTACGGCGACGTGTCAAGCTAAGGAGTTACATATAAGAAAGCCCTAGAAAGCAATTCAAGATGGTATTGCAATGCTGCTATCGACTGCGCCCTTCCCCTACAGATAGGATGGATCATAAGAAGACAACAGAGTCTCTCGTCAAGGAAAGAAACGAAAGAATCAAAGCAGAAGCTGCCGTAGCTAGCTAGCTTGCAAGCGTAGAGAACGACCAGAGTCGAGGCCGGGCCGAGGTCAGCCCATGGTAGTACATACATACTGGTACGCAGATGGTCGCGTTGTAGGCCAGCGGCACAGCGTTTAATGTATTGAGTACGCGGTGTCATACAATTATACTGAGTAAGCAAGACTGCACTATCAGGACGAGGCTCAGTATAAAGTTAAAAGTAAGTAGTACATGTCCGGAAATACTGTACATAGTATTTCCTAGTATCGGTAGCAAGAATACCAAACGATGGCGGTGTCAACGCCTCGCTTACTTCCTCCGATGTGGACAAACCTCAAAGACATATCACGAAGCCGGGAGCAACATACAAAACTCGCAGCCTGACTACGATATTGCGCCGTAGCAACATTTCGACTATGTAGGTAGGTGCGGCGGCATTCGACAGGGTTTTGCTGACGAGCTGTCGGTTCAAAAGGCTCTCGCTGAGCGTAGCACAGCCAACCGTGCATAACAATCAATCGATTCCGCCCAAAGCCGTTCGAGGAACGAGGCCTTGCGGACAATTTTTTCGGCAGACACGGTATAAGGCGGCTAGCAGCCCAGTACGACCGGGCCTGACAGTTTAGCATCATGGCATCAGCCCATTGGCGGCACGCCAGTCGCTGCCTCACTGTTGCTGATCTGGCTGCCGGGTTCATTTCTGTACTCTTTTGATTTTGCGATCAAGGGGTGTTGACGGCGACTTAGAGAAGGGCCCATAACGTGGCTCTGCTCTGCTCTGTCGACCCAGGCTGCGGCATAGACAACCCCAACCACGATGAAGTCGAACTAAAGTAGCCGTGCTTACTACATCGGTCAGACCTTGTGTGCAGAAGAAGAAAACACGACAAAAATGAAAGAAGACGAGTAAGTAAGAGAGAGAGCCGAGAAGAAAGAAGACAAAAAATACAAGCTCAATCCTTGTCCAGCGACTAAGCGAGTGAGCAGATATTCAATGTAATATACACATTTACAGATACAAAACATACCAGGAAAGACCTGTTCCATAATATACAGTAGATTACTATTCTTAGCCTACTGACTCTCATCAGCTAGGAGCAGCTGCTATGGCAGACGGGTATTATATATGTACACTTTATATATCGATACAGATGTACCGATATGAAATATATAGAGAGATTTTTTTTTGGAAAAAAAAAGAGCTTCAATGAGAAAAAGGAAAAGAATAAATCAAGAGGAGCGTATCCGTTCTTGTGTATGGAAAAAGACCTAATGTATCGTATCCAAGATGTCAAAAAGAAGAAAAAAAAAAGAAAAAAGTCTCGCATTGCCTTCTCAATGAACAGCATGAACAGACTATCGTAACGAAAGAAAAGGCTCAACACGTAGCACAACCACCATAGAGATGTGGATGTGTGGCCAGAGACTCTATACAAGCCCTCTATGCTGCACTAGCAAGAACCGTTTCTCTGCCCCCTATCCAGTACAAACCTCGTTCGTTCGTTCATCATGTACCCTTCTGTACTTTCTTCCGGGGTAATACTAGGCACCCCATTTGATGGTCGTTCAAGCCATCCGATCCGATCGGTCCACAAGCTCATATCGGTCCTTTCCACTAACCCTCCTCCAAAAGCTCATCCTCGAGCGCCCACCACTCGTCCTCTTGCCGCCCAGCAACGAGGTCCACACCCACCACAGCGCACCCCCCACCAAAAATGCCGTCGCAAACCCGATAACTGTCAGCAGCAGCCAATGCTTGCCCATCCAGAAGATAGTCTGCGCATCTTTCCCGTGCCAGCTATTGCCCTTACTGATGTTGAAGAAGCTCCACGGGAACCCCTTGTACTCATCTGGCATCAGTATCCGGAGGTGTTCGGAGAATGGGCGATGCTCGCGCATGTATTCAATCCACAGCACGGAAAGGAAGAGGGGCCCGGTGCTGTACATGACGGTGATATACGGCATTCCCCAGGCGCGGTTATACGAGGCCAAGGACTCTATCGTGCGCATGAAGAAGGGGTGTTTAGGCACTGAGCCCATCGCGTCGTTCGAGATTCCCGTCGGCAAGGTGCGGCGCACCCACGCGGGATAGGAGAGCAGGGGATCGAGGCGGCGGTTGCAGCCGTCGTCCAGGTCGATGTAGACGCCGCCGTAGTGGGCGAGAACAAAGTAACGTATAGCGTCCGCGCGCTGGATAGGGAAGTTGTAGCTGTCGAAGTTGGCAAGGGCCCATGGGTATTCGGTCGCTATGAACTCGCGGGATTTGGCGTCGGTCCACAGCTGTGATTCCTGTCAGCCTCTATCCCATCTTGCATTCACTTCCCCTATAGTGAATAGGGGGTGGGCGGCGTACGATGTACTCATAGTCCTCGTGCAAGTCGATACAGCTCTGCTGGCCCGCCTTCCACCGCACCGGAATGGACTCGTTGATGTAGGTTTGATGTATAATCTTGGGGATGAGCTGCATCTTGTCATCAGTCGAGTTGCTGCCCGGCGCGGGGATCTCCGCCCTGTGTATGGCATCTTCGGCGCCGTCTGTGAAGAGGAGAGCGATGAGCGAGCTGCAGGCGTGGACCAGGAAGCCGATTATGATCAGGTTGATGACCAGGAAGACGATGGTTCCGCGGCGCATCGTGAGTTGCGCGTCGGGGTGAAGTGGATAGGGAGGTTGGAGGGGAGGTTGGGTCGTCGATGTATTCCGGAGCGCAGCGCATGCAGGAGGTATCTTTCTCTGCCTGCGGGTGTGCTCTGCTCCTGGTTTTGAGGGTGAGGATGAGGGTGAGAAGGGGGGGGGGGGAGGCGGAAAGGGGTGGTTGATCCTGTTGGGATGGGGCGCCCGAGGCGAGTCAGGAGAGCATCTATTGAGCTTTTGAAGTCGGGGAAATGAGCACCATGCCAAGCTGTATGCCGCAATCAATCTCCTTGGTAGTAGAAATATTCGGGGCAGAAGATATTAAAATAGTGACGTTCAACAACGGCGGAGTCTTATCGGAGGGTTCATACCTAGGAGCTTTGGTTCGCAGAGAGAAGAAGAAGATGGGAACGAGCGATAAGTACGGAGTAAGTAGCAGGGAACGTCAGAACAGTATAGTGCCACATGGATGGCGCATTTTCCCAGTGGCTGTGCTTTACGCAATACGGACTCGAGTGGCTCGGCTTGTCAAGCAGAGGAACCCTCGATTTTCGCATGATGAGAAGAAGAAGAAGAAGAAGAGGAAGAGGAAGAAGACGGCGACAACTGGATAGACAAAAGCCGTGTCGAATGTCCAATGTTACGTGCAGCTTTCTGAGTTGGAGGTGGTGATGTTGCTTACTCAGCAAGAAGGAGTACGGTGGCAAGACGATGATAAGTAAGGCAAGCAAAAAGGTACGACGTCTACGGAATGTTTTCCACAAGATACATCCATGAATCTACAGTAACACAAGTTGGACGGCGACGTTCGTATTCCGTATTGACCTCGGTACGATGCAAGCGAAGTTATGCTTATCCGTAAAGCCTATGTGTAGAAGCGAATACGAAGTACATGGAAATGCACCGTACAGCCTCGCAGGGTGGAGAAGACTGACGGTTATCCTGGGAGTATCCTGTCATACCTACGCGTCCTCCGGGGTTGTCGTTGCAGTCGAGGAGGAGCTCGGAAGGATGCTATTTGATCCATTCCGAACATGCGATGTTGTTGTTGTCGTCAGCCTTATACCGGTACACTCTTCGCCTCATTCTCTCCCGTCTCCTGGCCCTGGATGGCTGGCCCCCCAGTCCATCCCTGCTACCCCGTACAAGTCATCAAGAACTTCATACGTCGCAGAGCCTCAAGTCATATTCAGGCCCGGCATACTCCCCGGCATTGCATACTCCCCCCTCGCTCTCCTCCTCCATCGCATCCCCTCCTGCTCGCTGCCCTCCATATCCCCTCTCGTCCTCGCTTCAGCCTCGACCTCCCTCCTAGCCTCTTCCCTCAGGTCCCTCTCCATCTCCTTCCCCTTGGCGCGGCTCATACTCGCCGGCTCACTATGTGTGCCGCTGATCCCCGCGCTCTCTTCTCCTCCCCTCGTATTCTTCTTCCTGGGCCACAAGCTCGGCAGCTCAATCTGCTGAAAGCGCGGCTCAACAGCCCTCTCGTCAAACCATGTATGCAGCCTTGCCTCTACCAGACTCGCAATCTTGGGCACATCCTGCAGGCGACTCCTACTACCCACCAGACTCCTAACTGAGAAATCCAGTCGGTAGTCGTCCAAGAAGCTGAACGCCAACATCGTCGCGTTAGTCGGACTGCCGGGTATAAAACTGATAGACAGCGTGCCACTGAATCTAACCACCGAAACAGCCAACGCGACCGGCAGCACCGCCACCAGCGGCTTCGGATAGTTAAGCAGCAGCTTCGTCTCCACAGCCAGTGTTATGAAATCGCTCAGATCAACATCCATGCGCGCCTGCAGCCGGCCATGTTCCCTCTCCCTCTGACTCCCCTTCCCCTTTCCCAACCCCTCCCCCAGACTCAGCCCATCCTCATCCACGGGGATAACCCTGCAATTACTGAAGATGGGGAAGTCCTCCCCGAGACTCAACTCCGTGACTTTGATCTCGTCCAAGAAGTCCGGCCGCGAGCCCCCGTTCAGCGCTTTAGTAAGGGTTGTGAGAATGGCGTCGTCGTGCTGCGCGTCGCTGCGGAACTGGGCGATCGTTTGGGCAACCAGCACGTTGAACCAGTCCAGGCTCTCCGGCTGGTGCGAGTCGACATTGTAGTACGTCTTGCTCAGTATCGTATTGGTGGTGAGCGGCGGCGGGTTACGCAGCACGCTCGACCGCTTCTTGTTCAGAGATGGCTGGTTGAGGTTTTGTGAGGATCGGGGGGGTGTGGAGGTCGTGCGGAGGGAGAGGAGGGAGCGCTTGTGGGCAAGGGTGCGCGAGCGCCGCTCTGTGGCTCGCAGGGCAGCGGTTACGTCTGGCGAGGGGGGGTCACCGAATATGAAGAATTTGATGAAAGCGCCGAGCAGTATTACGACAGAAAGCTGGCCGAGGAGGAGGCCTTGCGTGAAGGAGAGTCTGGTGGAGGGGCCTTGTTAGCATAGCTGGCATCGGAAGGTAGGTAGGATACGGACGAGGATGAGGACTCGGGTCTGGGTGTATCGTGAGTCGGCATTATGTGTGAACATATGAACTTCCCAGAGAAGATAGGACATAGGACAAGGACAAATTTGTGGGTGTAGATAGCGAGACCAGCTCAATTGGCGAGGTTGTGGTTTGTCGAGGGTGTGGTTGATGTCGGCGCGGTACGGATACCGTAGTAAATATAACTTTTAGAAGAAACGCGACGTGCACGTCATTTCTTTGCCGAGTCTAGGTCACAGATCTCCCGAAGACCGAGGGAGATCAATCAATGTAGCCACCCCATACCGGAATTCATTACAATATGCTCCTTTAAATCAGATTTCGCTAAAAAATAGGCCAATGTTAAAAATCAAACACGCTACAAACAAACAATCGTTAAATACTCCTTCTTCTCTTCCGCATCTCCCTCACAACACATCACCGACCGCCTTGAGGCAAACAGCCCTTACCCACCCCCTCCACCAAGCCCTAGGAATAAACATCCTCTCCCCTCCTCGTCACCCACAATCACAATCACACCCAGCATCTTATCCCCTCGAGTCCATAGTGCCCTCACCCTCGAGCGGTACCGTACAGCGTCGTCCAGGGGAGCCGCACTCGCTCGTCTCAGCGCACCAATAAAAGGGATATAGGGCTGCGGTGTTTGGAACTCTCTCCACAGAAGTAATCTCCCTCTCCTCCCTCCCTATCCACCTCCCCACCGACTCGACTCTACATGGTGGCCTCTCCACCATCCTCATCGACGTCGCCGGTTTCCGGGCCTTGATTCCCATCCTCTCCGATGGAGGTACGGGGCATGGATGTTGTTCTGCAGAAGGGGGCGTTGGTCAAAATTGTTTTTGGGGAGAAGGTGGTGGGAAGTAAGCTGTACATGAGTATTGTAGTAGGATTGCTGGGCGGATGCGTAACGGAGGGTTTCGAACGAAGGGGGCTGTTGACGTACGCCTTTCGATCTTTCTCAACGAGGCCTGTAAACTCAGAAGACAGAATAGCAGGTTGAAGAAAAGACAAGAAGAAGGACGAAGTCTAAATTCCATTATTCGTAATTTTTACCAGTACTGCTGCAAGCATGACAGCAATCCATACACTATTTGCGCCGATTTTCAGATTCATAAGAAAATCAGGAGAAAAGACGGGCCTCATCCTCTCCATACAGACGACACGTCGAGCCTCGTTACCGTACCTTCTAAACACAAACCATCAAGGCAAAAATTTTGGTACACAAAAGGAAAGTCTAGATCTTTTGATGGTAGCATAGTCCTCGCTAGCATTTCGGAACTTAGATATACTCAATCGGATCTCAACAAACGGATCTGGATGATGAAAAAAGCCAACAGGCCGCTGAAAGAAGACCTCTATGCCTTGACCGCATCGAAATTGCTCTGCGAGCTTGCGCTCATGACTTGCTGGTTGGTGGTCGGCAAGCTCATCTTATTCATCTGCGTCTGTCGGACCTTGGCCCAAGCGTACACGATACCGCTAACAAATCCAATGATGATAGCCGAAACACTTCCGAGCGTAACTGGAGCGGCAAAGAAGATCAAGCCGCTGACAGCAATAGGAAGCTTATTGAGGGCGCCAACCATGGAGTAGGTGGTGGAGGAGGTGACACGGATACACCAGGCTGAGCAGTAGGAGATGAAGATTGTGGCAAGTCCAGAGTAGATCATGCCCAGGATGAGGCTGTTGCGGGACTCGAGCGGGAAGTTCTTCTCGATGTTCACAGAGGTCCAGTTCTCGAAGAGGAAGGAGCATACAAACAGGACTGGGATGGTAAGGAGGTTGTTGTAGAACATGGCTTGGCAAATATCAGCTCGTATCCTGAAAAAAAAAATCAAAAGAAAAAAAAACATCCGGTAAGCAACTTACTGTCCCAATCCTTGAAGTTCATTTTCTTGATAACCTTGCGCATGGACAAGACGTATGCGGCAGTGCAGAAAACGTTCATGCCCATCCACGCGTATCCAGCGTTCAAAGTCGACAGAGCCAGTGCAGCTTCCGCGCTCTCAATCTCGGCGTTTCCATACAGGGCATGTTGAATATCGGCCCAAGCAGCAACCACGGAACTGAGAACCATGAGCCCGAAGGAGAATAGAGCGGAAGCCGTGACGCTCCCCCCAAACCAAAGGACCTCTCCGTACGCAATGACGATGATGGTCAAGTTCTTGAAGATGGTGTAGACGGGGACCGAGAGGTACTGGAGCGCTTTGGTACTGGTGTAAATCATCCCAACGAGGAGGAGGGAGATGGGAAACCCTGCGATTGATCAGCCACTCGTCAATCTCTCAATGGCGGCCGGACGTACATGTCTTTGCCTTCTTGGGATCGAATGGCGCCAGGTTGGTGATCATGCCGGCCTGCTTGCAAAGGATAATGGCAATGATGCAGACCAGAGACTGCGGGTTTGTCAGTCAATGTCCCAGCATCTTCGGGTGAGAGCTATACCTGGATCGCAAGGTAGAAGAAGTTCAGATTCCAGTTGGCACCTGAGACACAGTATTTGTTTGTAACGGTCATGGAGATTGAAGCCAGACAGTAGGCCAGGATGGAAAGCGGGGGGCTGTTCGTAATGTTGGATAGGGGAGCTGGGGGAGGATTCCTCGGGGATCGCTGCGGGATGAAGGGCCTGTTCGAAGGCGATGACGCTCCGCTGATATTGCGCATCTCAAAATCTTCATTCTTCTTGTCGTCCATGGTTGTGGTTGTGGTGGTTTGAGGCAGTGGGAGGGCGTTGGAAGCGGGTTACGAATTGGGTTTTTTCCCGAAATTGTAGTTGTTGAGGGACGACCAAGTAGCTTGTGCGGGATGATCTTTTGGAGGAGACGGTGGCCCGTAGTAGGTAATGGTGGTTACAGGGACGTCGAAATCGCAGTAAGTATCGGCATTCAGATATCCTGATGGAAGGTCGAGCGAAGGGCAGATATGTAGTGTAGGGAGTAGGTAGGTGGGTTCCATGATGTTTCGCAAGGACACCAAGCTGGCCACTCCCTCACGAAGCACAAGCCACCACGCCGCAGGGATCTTGCAAGCATCAGCCTCAATTGTCGATTTGAGCGACTTGCAGATACGGTACCGGTACTCAGATACTGATTGTACCATCAGCAAAGGCATTATATACAAATTCATACGCCGTTGGATTCCATTTCATTGATTTCATAGCTATGATCGCGCGAAGCAAGAAAGAGTAGGTAACGCCCATCCAGTGACTACCGGTACCGTATTACAGTACTCCGTACAGTAGCAGTCGCCAAGTAGCTCCGCGCGTATCTCGCGCGCCGCGAACTCAAATCACCCATCAACGCGTTCTCGCATCCCTTCCCTTAGCAGTCCGGTCCTCTCCCCCCCCCACCATTGCAAAGCAAAAGAAACCAGTATCAATGGCCAAACTCGATTCCCAAGTCGCCCATATCCTCGATACCGGTAATTCTGACGACGAAGATGCCCTCATCGCCTCCCTCGAAGACTCCCCCGCGCTGGACGCCTTTCGCGAGCAGCGCATCCAACAGCTCCACGCCGAGTTCACGCGCGCGAAGCAGCAGAAGAATGAGGGTTTTGGGCACTACACGGAGATCCGGGGGGAGAAGGCGCTGATGGAGCTGACAACTTCGCTCAAGCATGTGGTGGTGCACTTCTCGAAGGACGATTTTGCGCGATGCGGGGTGATGGATGGGCACTTGGAGGTTGGTCTTCTCTCTTCCCTCCCCTCGCCCTCTTTCTTACGCTTTATGGATAAGAGAAATGGGGGCTGATGTGGATGTTTCGGGTGGTTGGAATAGACTCTGGCTGCAAAACATACCGACACCCGCTTCCTGAAGATGAAAGTCGAGAATGCCCCGTTCCTGGTCGTGAAGCTGAAGGTGCAGGTGCTGCCGTGCGTGCTGGCGTTTGCGAACGGCGTCAGTGTTGATCGGATAGTGGGATTTGAGGGCCTGGGCTATACGGAGGATACGTTCACGACAAAGGATCTGGAGGGGAGGTTGTTGGCTGCGGGTGTGTTGGAGAGGGCGAGGGCTGTGGGCGAGGCGAGTGTCAAGTGGGGGGTGAAGGCGTCAAAGAAGAAGGATACTAGTGATGATGAGGAGTGGGATTGAACAGGAAAATGCTAGAGGCAATTCGAGTCAAGATGCTGCGAGCGAGTGCTGGGGAGCAAATGGCTCAGTAGCAAGCAATTGTGCTTGGGGAGCAGCTTGAGGAACTGCTTGGGCAGCTTGGGCAGGCTGGACTGCAGAACCATGCGCCGCGAAGATCAGGCCTTCTACAGGCTTCTGGATAAGTAGACAAGTAGGATCTCCAGAGACCGTGGAGGTCGGCCTGCAAATATCAACAGCAGCCACAAACATCAAAGACGAGGCACAATTAAACGAGCTTGCATCTTGCACCTTGGGATATTGGTTTTGTTGTTCATCCACTGAAGTACCGGAATTCTCCAACAGCCACTCTTGGCAGTAGCATTCCTCCATCAGCTAGGCAAATTTCGGCACCCGCAGTTGAATTCAACAAACTGTAACAATTACACGGACACCGCTGCAGGATACATCAATCATAGATCTAAGCTTCCGTGGTCCAATGGTTAGGATTCCACCCTTCCAGAGCCCCTGTGGTTCGAGCAAGGTGGAGGTTCGTGTTCGATTCACGGCGGTTGCAAAATTGAAAAACTATTCTTTTTTTTTCCCAATCTATCCTGCTACGCTCGGGTTTTTTTTTTTTTTTCTCTTTCCATCGCTTCCAACTCCGCCAAGTCTCCCGGGTCATGTAGAAAGATCTCCGTCTTGGCCGAGAGCTGTTGCGAAGCGAAGCGAGGGAGTATTTGTTTTGTTTGGGAAAGCAAATTTACAATGATTGATTGATTGACAAGGATACCTAGATAGCTAGGCACGGCGACTTCATTCGATAACGCAGAGGAGTCGGCCAGGCGATACTTCTTGAGGGGGGTTTTTTTATTTCTTCATTTTCTTTTTTTCTTTTCTCTTTTGGGAAATCCTCGCGACGGTTTCAGATCTGAAAACATCAAGGTACCGTACTCACTCCCTATCGTTTGACTGGCCCGTCACATCTCTGCTCTCCTCCACGGTACCTGCGGTACGCGGATGTGGGTCCCATGAACTGGTTGACGTACCTACGTACCTATTAGAGGTGATTTCGCACCCCTCTCGTACCCTCTCCATCCATACCGTGCTTCTACCGTACAGTATTGCCAGAGGCGGAATCAAAAGGATCCGTATACTTAAGGGACATGATACGTCGGAGCCTCAGAGCCGGCAGCGGGGCCGAGACGACGGGAGCAGCAAGCCCCGGATGTACTACGAGCGCTGGAATCCGATACGTGGCAGATGTCTCGCAAAACAACGCATGGCATACCGGTACTAGTACTAGGACGGTAGAGAGAGCTGGGACAGAGAGACGGGCCGGGCCAACCATGCAGATTGCCCATCGGATGCTGCAGCCTGCAGCCTGCAGCCCACATCGACAGCAGGATCTTGCAGCGCGCTCCGTACTCCGTACGTAGGTACATTGCTCCGTACAGTAGTACAGTACTTAGTGCTGCGTGCCAGCCGCCGTGCGTCAGGCACGCGTGCATGCATACATATGCATACATGCATACACTGGAAACCGAACATTGTGACTTTTCTTTTGGGAAGGGAGGGAGGAGATGAGGAAAGGGCGAAGGGGGACCGATTAGCGTGTTACACTTTGTGGACTTCGCACGGGTGGGAAGATTGAGGAGAGAAAGGGGAAGCTAGGGATAGAAGAAGAAGAAGAAGAAGAAGAAGAAGAAGCTAGGGATGGAGGAAGCTAGGGAGGAGTGATGTTGATGTGTTTCTAAGCGAGCCTTACGCGACAACGCATTTTCGCTTACTGTAGTTGTAGGTACGTATGTGCTTCCTCGCCGCGGGCGTGTCCTGGGTGGAGAATGTAAGTTAGTGGGGCGAGAGATATGAGATGAGATTTTTTGCGGAGAGCGATGAAGATCCATCCGGCGTGTGGGGGTTTGGAGGTACGTATGTCGCAAGTCGGCTGGAAAGGGGCATAAGAAATATGGCTTGCCACGAAGGGAAGGAAGTTGGACTTGTAACGTAACGGAAGGGTGGATAGACAGACAGAATCTTGATTCCTGTAGACGTAGATCGCCAGGTAATGATCAGACCAGACCAACGAAACGCCGTAGAACAGCACAGGTGAATCCACGAGTCTCTCAATCAACAGCACGCTGAAAAGAATCTACCTCTCCTCCCCCCCCTCTTCATCCACTGCGACCAACGGAAAGCTTACACTCTATCCCCATCCCATCCAGTCGAAGCAGGATTACAGAACAACATTCTAACCCGTCTCTCCATTCCCTCAGAGAGGTATCCCACCCATCAATACGCATCCTTCTCATCTGCAGCTGCACTCCGCTTGCTCCTGAAATACCCACTCACCATCCCCAAGATTCTCTCAGCACCCAGCCTCCAACTCCTCGTACTCTCCAACGAGCTCTCACTGGACCTTGAGTCCGCCGAACTCGATCGGTTCCCTGCGCCGCCAATCCCGTGATACCACGACCCCGCCGCGTTCTGTTTCCGTGTCGAGCTGCGGAGTTCTCGTTCGAATTGGGGGATGGAAGCGCGCTCTTCGTACGAACGGGAGTTGCCTGCACCCCCTATGCCGGTATGGAATGTGCCTGTTGAGGGGCTGGGGATCAGGCGGGGGACGGAGGGAACGGGGCGGATGGTCGAGGATTTGCGGATGTTTCCTGCGCCGCCGATGCCCATTTTCGTGTACTTTCTAGGGAAGGAGTTGACGAGATTGGCGGTGTCATTGGTTGTCGGCTTAGACATCTTGTTCGTGTTGGTTGATGTGAAAAAGTAATTATTGATATTGATGTTCAAAAGACTGAAAAATACAGTTATTGTAGATAGGGTGAGGAGTTGACACTTATATGTTTTGATGTTTGGTTTTTGATAATGTGAGAAGTAAGGGGCTGATGTCTGACTTGACTGCTGATCGACATGACAAGAGGGGCAGACAAAGCAAGTATATGATACATCGTGCCTCGATAGCAGAATCGACGATCCAATGAATCCGCTTGGACCCTAATAATAAATCTGGAACGGAGTTGGCATCCAAACACTGCAATGGTGGACGTTTGAATTTAGCATCCATCAGCAGCCACGCTAGAATACAGGATTTCGAATCAACGCCATATCCGCCGTCAATCTTTGCAGCAGACTCCAATCGCATTCGAAAGCATATGGTTAAAATAACAAGTGGTTCGCAGGCGCCTAGGCACTTGCCCACAGCTGCATGTTTACCAGAACGGTGGAGGCACGCGGATGTCCCGGTTTCTCTACCTTGATGCAGCTCCAAGGCGTGGATGCAGCTCATGAAGATCGGCGAGAGAGCCGAAAAAGAGGCTGGCTGCTGTCTCGAATTTCAATAGCGGATGCTGGTCCGTAACGGCCGGTTGCAGCGTTTCTGTGAAGCTTGAAATGGCTATTATGATGGACTTCGAGCTCGGAGGCCTGAAATGCTATGGGATCGCGCTCATCGCTGCTGTGATCTCTCCATAGTCAACTTTGCGTGGAATGGAAGGTTCATGCTCGATCTCGTTGACTAGGGAGATCATCCCGTGCCGTCGGCCAACTAATGAGGAGACGGGAGACGGGAGACGGAAACGAGAGACGGGTTGTTGGTTGTTGTCGTCGTCGTCGTTATCGAAGCTTCAAGGTGTATCTTGGACATCAATCTCGCTTGTCTTACATACGAATTGTTCCGACTCGGTTCTTAAAGCTTAGTCAGAATCCTGCAATGACGAAATTGAGGGGCAATGCAAATAATTAAGACGGAGATTCGCAGCGAAGGATCCGCGAACACGACATTCTCACAAGAAGAGAAAAACGCACCGTACTTTTGCAACAGCTCTAATCAAAGCAAAGCGAAGATAGAACATCCATCAGCAGCAGACCAGCAAGATGAGAGCATACTGGTATGACAACGCTGCTGTAAGCAAGCCCAAGCAAGCCCTTCCCATCTCTTGCATACCTCCCAATCTACCTACCTACCCACCCCACTTACACACATCCACCGTAACAGACATTGGCACTGACCGAGGGCAGGGCGACCAACGTGAAGCCCACGATTCCGGCCGTGCCATTGCCGTGGACTACCTTTCCAAGCTCGGCGTCCTCTACTACCACCTCCCTAACGAAGCCGACGTCGACCAGCTAGCCAAGGAAAGAAGCTATAAGAACAGGGACGTGATCACCGTGTCGCCCGAGAAGATGGGAGACGTGTACGAAGAGAAAGTCAAGTCGTTCTTTCACGAGCACTTGCACGAGGACGAGGAGATCAGATATATCCGCGACGGCGCGGGGTTCTTTGATGTGAGGAGTGAGGGCGACGAATGGGTGCGCATACTGCTGGAAAAAGATGATCTGATTGTATGTGGCACCGGCGGCTGAGGGGGGGGGGAGGAGGAGGAGGAGGAGGAGGAGGAGGAGGCGAGACGCAATGCTGACTCGGTCAAGATTCTACCTGCTGGCATCTACCATCGTTTTACCACGGATACAAACAACGTAGGTGGTGGAACTGCTTTCCCATTCGCATTTGTATTTGCATTTGCATGTAGGGAGTGGGCCGATGTTAATGATCAGCAGCACATTACGGCGATGCGACTTTTTAAAGAAGATCCCAAATGGACGCCACTCAATCGCGGCCCTGAAGTCGACGTCAACCCGCTGCGAAAGGAGTATCTGGGAATCCGAACCCGGGTCGCGGATGTGTAAGCGTAAGCGCTGAGCAAGGGCAAGTGGGTTGGGGTGAGCGGGTGATGTGCACGACTTTTTATGATGATATGACATTGATATGTCCATGATGATTGCGGAGGATACCAAAATGACCGTTGCTTCCTAATCCGCGAGCATGCGTGACTCGTCAATAACGTGTATTGGCAACGGTTGGTGTGCTTCTTTCGATTCTACGTAGCAAGTGCTGGTCAACAGTCGCCCTTGTCTCGGGTATGGGCGCAACACTGCATGCACCTCGGAGTGTAGCCGTCGATCGCCTGGAGAAGCTATTGCTCGTTAGCCGACCAACGATTGGTGACACTGTGATGTGCTTCAGCGAGGCACAAGCCCATCTTGAAAGCTCGAGCAACGTGTTTATATAAGCTTGGGAAGAAGGTCGTTTCCCAGCTTTACTTATCAGCACTCTGCGCAGCTGGCAAGGAAATCACCGCAGCGTAAAACTCTTTCCGCCCCTTGAGCCCAAGAACAGTCACGCATCTGCTGTGTCTACAACCCCATGACCGCCTCGTCAAGATGGCTGGAGCCACTACGGAGTCGAGCCAGTCTGGTTCATCGCTTACTCGAACGGGATATCTATGCACACACCGAGCGAGCTGGCACATACGACCATAGACTGAGGAGAATTGGGCATCCCGTTCGCTCTGCCATACACAAGCCTCAGATCGGCAGATTAGTAGTTGGGTGGGTGACCACCAGCGAATACCTGCTGTTGTATGTCTTTTTTGCTGCTACACCTCATTGATATTTTTTTTTTTTTATTTTTAACTTTTTTCTTACTTTTGATGTTCTGTCCATGATAATAGGTACGCCCATTCCATCTGATCGGTTGTGCAATTCAATTTTTCTACTCTGATGCGGTATCCTCGATCCCATCTGCGCTTTCCCGGCAGGAAAAACAAGCAGGCAAATGGGACAGGGCTGGCGGCGGCGATCTTGGTTCTGCGCAGACTCCCAAGTCCCAGGCTCAGATCCGGCAACCAGAGCTGCATCTCCTTCCGAGACAAAAGGCTTGCCCAATCCTTCTCGCACACCCTGTACCCCGCGACCCCTCCCTCAACGACCGACCGACCGACCGTCGCAGGATTCAGGGCGTGGTCGTGGCATGGCATGGCATGGCATCTGGCCCGTATCAGGCAGGACCGATGGACGGTGGTCGACCAGCTAGCTCAGCTCAGCTACCGTAGCTGCCGTCCCTCCTCAGCGACCACCTCGGTAGGTCATCTAGGTACCGTAATTCATTAATGGGGCAGCGAAGCAATCCAACCCGACTCAAACCGTGTATGTCCCTGCTGTGATCTCAGGGCCTTCTGAAAGCGTCCGAGGGGTCGCGGCTTGAAAGGGGCAATTAGGTACGTCGCTCTGTTACTGGGGGCACTACCTACCTACCTACCTACCTACCTACCTACCTACCTACTATACGCACTTTGGAGGGGTCTGTTGACATGCCCACCACCTCTCCCTTGTCGGATCAGGAGGGCTTCGGGAATCGAGGTTATCGCCAAAGTAGGTAGGCAGGGAGGTAGGTACTTTCTGTATCTTGCAGACATGTTATTACTAACTCTTGCTCTCACCTACATACTTCTCAAGTCTCTCGCTCTCTCACCATTCACGGAAAATCGACCTTTCATACCTATCAGTTCTCATCCTTTGCTCGCTGTGGACTTCATCAATGCATTTGTCGATTGATCGATCATTCAGTCCATCTCTCCCGTTCCACATACCGAAGGCAGGCAGTGCCAGCACTCGATTCATCTCATCTCTACCGCTCCTCTCCTCTCTGCTTTAACCTCCTTGCCAGATACCAACAAGTCCGAGCTCAGACCACACCATTTCAGGCCTTCCCTTCTACCCGGGACCGTAAAACCGTGCATTCTAAAAAGAAGAGAAACAAAGATCCATGCCTGCGTGTAAGGGGTATATCAATCAATCAATCAATCTTGCGCCTCCCCTTGATCCCCCATCCCTTTCCCAAACCTTCTCCGATAATTCCGGAGAGAAAAAAGACAAACACCATCTCAAGAAACACAATAACACCCCCCCCCCCATGTCAGATATCCGTAGTATGCTGACATAATGTTCTCCTCTGCTTCTCACTCATCTCAGGATATAAACGTTCCACACGATGTATCGTCCAGCAGATGTCATGGTATCTACCCCCTTACTTTTTCAATGCCTTCAAACTCCCAACCAACTTTTCCAGCCGCTCCGTCAGCCCATGCTGCGGATTATGACCCTCCTCATCGACCGCGATGAGATCAACCACCTTGAAGTGGCCCACAAACTCCTCAATGGCTGCAATGACGGTCTTGAGGGATTTTCCGGGTTGCTTAGCCGCGATGCGGTCACAGAGAGCGGGTAGCTGAGAGAAGAAGCCGAGCAAGACGGAAAGGTATCCGAAGGCTACGTTTTTCTGAGTCTCGTGAACAGAGTCGGCCTGGGCGTATGTTAGTAGCTGATGATGGGACTGAGAGGGAGGGGAGAGCGCGAGGGGGCAAGGAGGGAGGGGACAAACCTGAGAAGTGCGCTCCAGGCTATGTGAGAAAGCAGCAACCATGGCGTCGAGAGGATCACCGTCAGAGCCCTGCAAGCTCTGGAGACTTTGTCTGCATGCTGGACTCCATTCCGCAAAGTTGATCATGACGCCCAAGACAAGGACCAAGTAGTCGACGGCCACGGAAAGCTCGTCCTCGATCATGAAGCGGGAGATTTGGTCGAGTCTGGTCACTGCTACCTGGCCCATAGCCGCCATCAGTGGTGGTTGTGCGAAGACATCGGAAGCTCGAGGGTTGTTATTGGTGACGTTGAGAGTCAACTTGAGGATGAGAGTTTGCAGAATTCCAAATTCTTCGAGCGGTCGGGCCATTCCTGCTCGTAGAGTCTTGGAAACAATGGGCAAGAACTCTCTGATCCAGATCGTCTCGTCGAAAGCTGTTCTGGCGCCGATTGAGTGCAAGTCTAATGCCGATAGGGCAAAGTAAAAGTCAATCGCCGCCTCCTCCTTCGGTAGATTCCATGAGCGATCGGTGGCGGTGTTCACTATGGCGAAGAGGTTTGCCGTAAGCTCCTTACTGAATAGGTCATTCATACTACCAGCTTCTCGTGTCTGCCGAACCATCAATTCCAAGCATCTCAATGCCGCGGTGCGTGGTGAAAGAGATTGCAACTGGACTTCATCCCATGCAGGAGAGGGCAACTTGACGAGGTAATCCTGATATTCCGACACTAAAGTGATAGCAACCTTCGACATGTTGCTCTCTCGAGCTTTTGCAACCGCAACAATACCAGATTGGCACTCGAGTTGGCGGATGAGTAATCGAGTGATACCTTGACGTCGGAGATGGTCCACAATATGAGGCATGTTGCCATCAAGGAGAAGCGAGATTAAGATTGTGACCATCAGGAAACCAGAAACAATCTCTGTTTCCTTACCGAGATGCATGAACAGCTTTTGCTCAGTGCCGTGTTGTCGGAATTGGCGCAAGAAGTTCTTGTTCTGCATCTTACTGGCCAAATCCAACAATCCAGATCTTCTCATCGAAACGCTGGACTTTCCCGGTGAACCAATACGCTCCAAGTAGTCTTGAACTTCATCAAGGAAACGATTGTTGGCACCTGCCTGTCTCAATTCGTGCACACTCCGAATCGCAGCTACTGAGTCTTCATCTTCGTCCTCTTTGAAGCTCGAAAGTTGCTTGAGGCTTGGGATAGCTATCATACGGCCTCTTCTTCCTCCCGTCTGAGCAGGCATCGCGGGAATTTCTATAGAAAGTTGCGCCATGAGGTCCTCCTCGTTTAACATTGACCGCTGTTTGGCGTAGGTGAATTTCGGGCCCATCGTCTGCGAAGGTTGGCTTTCAGAAAAAGATGACGCCAGGGTGTTTTGGCTATTTGACGCATCCTGCATAACAGTATCCATGTCACCAGAGAGTTCCAAAGCGGAGATTTCGTCAGAATCATCAGAGTGGTCACCAGAAGAATCAGCCGCCTGCTCAACCAGGGAGTCAATCAATCGTCGCCGAGGAGGATCTGGAGCATTTCTTCGACCGGGCTTGGAAATTCCAGCGGGTCTTAACAAAAGACTCCGAATTCTGGTTTCTGATTTCGCAGCCTTGGTCGTCACGATCGTACCACCATCCACCTCAGTCGTATCGCCATCGACCCCAGTACTGGTTTCTCCATTGTCATCAGATCCCAACAAGTTCTGCCACATTTTCATACTATGCGGGGAAATATGTCGTCCACTGGGGTCCACATCTGCCATGTGTACGTCACTCAGAGACACCGGAGGTGTAGTAGGTTCTAGGGTCAGGCTCAGCCTACTGGGCGTCTTCGGCGCTTCAATTTCCTTCTCGGTAGAGACCTTCACCTTAGTTCTGGCGACTGATTTGGTGGGGTTTCCTTTGGGCGAAATGTTTCGAGGTCTGGGCTTGGCGATTCGTGATCCAGGGACGGGTCGAGGATTGTTGGCTGGTAACCGCTTCACTTGTGGCTCAACTGGAGTCAGCTTTAACTTCTTTCTGACGCCTTGCCCTCCCGTCGGAGGCTTGTGGATCAATTTGGCATCTCCATTCGGTGGGATTGTCTTGCTAACTTTGAAAATCGACTTTGTTGTGGGCGTTCCCTCGTCGTCGCTTGGGAAGTCAAAGATATCTTTTTTGGGCGTCACTGCTGGAGCCGACATTGAGAGAACTGACAAAACTTTCTGCTCCTTGCTTTTGATGGCCTTAGCTATCTTCTGAACTGGCTTCGGCGCCTCATCTTCAATGTCGCTGAGAATCTCGTAAATGTCCTTCGCCGGAGCTGGTGGGGAGGGGGTCTTCGATGGTGAGCAGCGTAGAATTGACTTGAGTTTCATGGTCGGTGGAGCAGCTGCTCTCAAGACGGGCTTTCGAATAGGCCTCAGTACCGGCGCGTCGTCTTCTGAACATGGCACATCGAAAATATCATTGGAAGGTGAAATGGTCGAAGGTGTTCTTGAGTGCGATCGGAAGGGAGCAGGCATCTGTTTCATGGTCGTACTTGTAGTTGTCTTGTGTGCCTTTGGTGCTGGCGCCTCGTCATCGCTCTCGGGTGCATCGAATATGTCAACCTGCCGTCTAGCACATGGCGTCCGAGACCGCGATCGTGGCCGGACCGGCTTGACCTTTGGAGGAGTGGGTGTGCGAAGTGGCAAGAGGGTCGACGAAGCGCGGCGGGTGACTTCATTGCGTGGGATCTCCGTCTCTCGGTCTGGGGTCTGGGACTTGCGTGCTTTCGAGGTGAAGCCATGCTCGGGGACTCGTTTGCGTGCTGCCTTGCCGTAGGTCATGATCTTCTTCTTCGAAGCCACTGGGCCATGGACAGTCGCCATGGCTGCGAGTGGTCGGGGGTGAGGAGGTTGGTTGAATGAGAGTTTGGGCGTCTATTCATTCGCGCTGATCTATTTCCGGTCCGGTCGAGGATACTGGGTGATTGTGAATCCAGTTGTAGCCGCGCTATTGTTGAGGATTGGCCATATCTATGAAGTTCTCATGATGGGATGTGAATTGCAAATGAGGGTACGAAGTTCTCGGTGGGGATGGATTGATGGGTTGGGTTGATGGTTGATGGGTTGAGGGCGAAAGAAAGGAAGGTGATGGAGAAGGCGAGCCTCGAAAGAAGAGAAGTCGCGATGCGATGCGCCAAGGAACTAGCGTGGCGGGGATCAAGGTGGGAACACAAAGACGTGACTTGACATGTGGGCCAAGGTCTCTGTGTCTCGGTGTCTTTGACTCTGTCTCTCGTTTGTTTACTACGTACCTACATACCTTACCTACATACCTACATACCTGCATACCTACATACATACATATACATACATACATACAGACAGACCTGGTCAACAGAATTGGGATTGCCCACATATCTAACCAAGAACATTCTCTATTCTGCTCCGTATACTTACGCTCTGCCAGCAAAGGAAAGACCCTGGTCTGGCGGCTGTTCTTAGTCACTCCTGTCTATCATATCACTCTTATCTGCCTCTTCACCCGCTCGACAACCTCATGTTTGTTGTTCCGTGCGTGAAGTGAACTTCATCCCGATATATCCCTATCCACAGGCTCAACCACTGTCACAGTTATATCTCAATCCGACGACGATTCGTGATCTCACCCCCCCCAAAAATGTCGGGCAAAGCCACCCCCAAACAAAGTGTAGGCCCCGACTACCGCTCCGAGAAGCAGAAGCCCATCGCCACAGTCTCCAAAGAAGTCTCCTTCGAGAATGTTCACACCCTGGCCCAGACCCCCCAGCTCATCGCCCTCCTCACGTATGTTACATGTAACCTACCCGTCGCACTGGTCGGGTCGGGTCGGGTCGGGTCGGGTGCCTGCCTGCCTACCTTACATCCCTCGCCCTTCCTGACATATCCCACGTCTCATCAAAAAATACCTATACTAACCTCCCAAAAGCATGATCCGGGACAAGAACACGGATCGGGCCGACTTCATCTTCTACTCTAACCGCATCATCCGGCTACTCGTCGAAGAGGGCCTCAACCACCTCCCCGTCGTCGAGCACACCATCACGACACCCGTGGGCCGCACCTATGCCGGCGTCATGTTCCAGGGCAAGATCTGCGGCGTGTCCATCATGCGTGCCGGCGAGGCCATGGAGGAGGGCCTGCGCAACTGCTGCCGGAGCGTGCGCATCGGCAAGATCCTGATCCAGCGGGACGAGGAGACGAGCCTGCCGAAGCTGTTCTACGACAAGCTGCCCGAGGACATTGCCGAGCGGTGGGTGCTGCTGCTAGATCCGATGTTTGCGACCGGTATGTTCTGTCTGTCCGGTTACTATTCCGTTCTTCCTTTCCATCGATTGTCGAAAGTCACGTTTCGGCGCTCGGGCTGATTCACGGCTTGCTTACTAGGTGGGAGTGCGACGATGGCTGTCGATGTGCTGATCTCGAGGGGTGTGCCCGAGGAGCGGATCTTGTTCCTGAACTTGATTGCTAGTCCGGAGGGCATCGAGGTGTTCGCCAAGAAGTTCCCCAAGCTGCGGGTGGTGACGGCGTTCATTGATCAGGGTCTCGATGAGAAGAAGTGAGCTTTCGTCCCTCTCACTGACATGAGCTCCTACTGATGACTGGCAGCTACATCATCCCGGGTCTCGGAGACTTTGGAGACAGGTTCTATACCATGTAGAGATCAGAGATGAGTCGTGAGTCTGGCGAGTTTCTTTCACGTAGGGTCCGAATAGCCAGCACAAGCACAGCTCGGGACAACCATAGATAGCTCCCCTCCCTTCCGTGGTGAAATTCAGAGGGAGTCGAGTAAGAAATGCAAATCGTGATTTGTTCTCATAGACGCCGATTCCTACCCCAGGAGTTGGCAATGCAGTAGAAAATACATTTTGCGTCCCCCCTAACGCCCCAAGAACGAACCCAGACTTCTCCTCAGGCACCTTCCCATCCCGGCCGTTGGGAACGAATCGAAAGAAATCCATCCTTACTCTGCGCTCTTCCCTCAAGCCTGCCCAACACACTCTTCGCAGCCCCTCGCCGACCATCTTATAACGCTCTCCATCTTCCCATCCTTCTCTCCCCCCGGGTTCTAATATTCGTCATCGTCCGCCACCAATCCACCACCACTTCTCCCTTCCCCGCGATACCGCACATCCATGCCACCATCATCGCTCGCGTCCGCATCATCAATAATATCATCGTCGCTACTCCTTCCCCTCTCCGCCCGCTCCCGGCCCCTTGGTCTCTCCCCCGCAGGAGCTGCCGCAAGCGCGCGCCTCGCCGGCGGTAGTCCCTCTGGGTCGTCGTCGTTATCGCCGTTGTCTTTGGCCACTGCATCGCAGGCGTCTACCCAGTCGGAGTAGACATCCACAGCTGCACTCAGGTCTGGATGGCACGGGAGATAAGTAAGAGATTGAACGGGTGGGGGGTGCACAGAGGGTGGGAGGGAGAGGGAGGGTTTCAAAGGAAGGGGCATGGTACAATTGATCGAGCACTGGAAGTGCTGAGAGCAGACCTTGCAGCTCAGGGCGCCGACGCCGCCCTTCTTGTCGAGCTTCACGCTGACGGAGTTGACGTGATTGCAGAACAGGCAGTCGAAAGTGGAGGCGAGGGGCGCGTTCTATTTCCCATTCATCGTGTGATCGCGTCAGCCTCCAGAGGATATCAAAAAAAAAAAAACATAAATCTCCATTCCCATCCCCAACGCGTATTTCGCAAGCCCGTTCTTTGCCGTCCATCTCCATCGCGGGTCATCGAGGACGGGAGCAATGAATGCGCGTACCTTCTTCGGACCTGTAGGCTTCTTGGCCGCCTTCTTACGTTTTCCCTATGGACATTCATCTTGATCAGCCTACCGAGCGTCGAAGACAGACAGATAGATAGAAGGCGGTAGAAAAGGCGAGGAAGAGGTGAGATGTACACACCATGATGAGGAGAAATGTTACGAGTCGCGACCTGCGTGGATGCGAATTGAATGTGTCGGTCGAATGTATAATGGATTGGGGGGGTTCCTAGCTCCGGTCTGCTGTTGCGCGCGCGCGCTTGAGTGAAGGGAAGGGAAGGGATGGGATGGGATGGGATGGGATGGCAAGTGGGGATTGGGCGTTTGGTGAATAAGCTTATGTGGGGGCGATAAGAGCGATAAGGAAGCGAGGAGGGGGGGTGCTCGGATTAGGATGATGGGATGATGTGGGGAGAGGGGATGGATGGGTGGGTTTGAGAAGATGGCAATCTCTGGGTTGTAAGAGCAGATATAGGTAGATAAAAACAAGTGTGAGGGTATATATGTATGTATCATATAAGTATATACATATATACATACATACATACATACATACATACATATATACATATATACAATATACATCTACATACACAAGCATCTTTCCTACCGACCTACCTCTCATGGGAATCTCAGCTGAATCCCTCACCGTCTTTCTTTGATCTTACCGAGTGCATACCTACATAGCGGTATCTACGGTACCTGCCCAGCTCTGCCCCCCGGATGCTGTGGCTTCACCCATCTGCCACTCCCCTTTGCCCCTGCATCCGCATGGCCGTGCCGTGACGTACTAAACAAGCAGGCACACCCGATCCACTACTGTAACGACTGTATTAATAGACGCTCGCCCCGTCCTTGTCACTCGCTCTGTCGTTCCGCTTCCATTCCATCCACCAACACATCCACCAACACCAAGAAAGACGCATTGCTCAAGATCGAGAGAGACAAGATACAACAAGATACAGCAAGATACGACAATAACAAGATACAACAACAACAAGATACAAACCCTCTGTCCCCCCACCCCATCATGTCCACCCCCGACCCCTCCGCCCTCCTCCTTCAAGAGGTCCTCGAGGCCATGAAAGCGCTCCAGCACAGCCAGACGCTCTTAGCCTCCAACGTCGACGCCATCTCCGGCCGCGTCAACGTGCTGGCCGGCATGAAGCAGGTCCGCGACGTCGCGGCAGCCTCTTCTCCTCCCTCTTCCTCCACCCCCCTTCCCTCCTCCACATCGCCCGGAAAGAAAGCCCCAGAGCTGCTTACCAGCGTCGATGAGTCTGAAAATATCGATGAGAGCGTGCCGCAATCCCCGTCCCTGCCCGCAACCCATCTGGACGCCGTGAGCAACAACAGCAGCAGCCGCCCGAGTCATGGCCGCAAGTCCAGTGCTACTACCGGTAGGATCATCCTCACGTGAGTCTCTTCGTCCCATCACCGCCACCACCACCACCACCACCAAACCAGCCGGGATTGAGTGAGAAGCATGCGTCTTCCCATGTGTGTTGCATGTATCTAGCTGCACGTCTAGCTTTTGTGTGGTGACTGGTTTGCTGACATTGACAACTACCTCTTGTAGGACCTATCCAGGACAGTCCGGTATCAACCCGTTTCCTATGGACTGGGGCCATAAGGATCCACAGCAGAGAGGCCCCGTCGTGGTGTCGAGGACTTTGACGACGTTGAGGAGACGGAATGGTAATGTTCTCTACTCCTCCCATCTTGGAGATGATGTGCTAATGACTACGTTCCAGCTATCGGAGGTAAGTGGTGATTAGGTGGGCCATCGATGAGGTACTATCTGACATGGTGAAAGCTCACGGTGGATCGTATTCGATTTACTATGCTCTTGCCGTGGCCAGTAACGAGATTTCGGTTGACCATAGGTACGAATTCTGGCGATCGACTTGATTTTCTCAGTCCAAGTGCTGCTCTTGAGTCTTGAGAAACGATGTACTAACCTCCACAGACCCGATTTCACCAATACCGAACCAGCGGCAAATATCGGTCCTTTTCCGCAATGGGCAGACAAGAAGAAGATCGTTTCCATGGACCCCCTCGGTCATCTGGCACCATGGCTCTTCAAGGATGTCATGGAACAGGAGAATGGTATGTGGTCGACCCCCAGTTGCAGAAATGGCATGCTGACCTTTGATAGTTGATATCAGACCAACTATTGGTTCGTAGATCCACTCCCAGTTTGCGATCAACTTCTAACATTGGGAAAGCTATCACCAGAGCTCACATGAAGGTTTGGCAATCCCTTCTCGTCTGTCGATTGACCTAACTAGTCGCAGTTGCCAGAACTAGAGCAAAGCGTCCGAGAAGGCCGTCTGTAAGTCATGCTCCAACACAAACCGACACCAAAACAACGCTGATCTGAAGCACAGAGTACCCGATGGAAAAGTCTGTCTGAACGATTCGGGTGAGCTGGCAGTAACCAAGTTTGCCGTCGAGCCTGTACGTAGCCTCGTTTCCAATCACCCAACCTCCAGAATCCTAATAGCGCCAGGTCTGGTACCTTCCCGGCGTTGCAGAGCGCTTCGGCATCGGTAAGCTACGCACTGCTAAAAACTCCCCCGCGCACAAGCTAAGAGAAGTCAGACGAGGGATCCCTCCGCCGATCACTCTTCGAGCATACCGGCGGCTCCTACCCCGAGCTCATCACCAGAGGCGACATCAAGCTTTTCTTGCCTCCGATCGGTACGACCACCTCCCAGCCCAGTCCCATCTCTGGGTTTGTATTGTGATGTGACTGATCGGAAACTTCTAGGTGGGCTTACGGTGTACTGCTTTGGTGACCCGGCAAAGATGTCTGACGAGAAGGTCCGCCTTGCTCTGCGTATCCACGACGAGGTGCGGTTTCCCACATTCTCCTCCGAAAACTCCCATAATTTTTTTTGGTATGGTGGCGCAGAACAATTCCGGGATCTCGAGATTGGCTATGCCACGAGTAGGATACCCTCATCTGACATGATATATAGTGTAACGGCAGTGACGTGTTCGGCTCCGACATCTGCACATGCCGTCCCTACCTCATCTATGGCATTGAGGAAGCTGTCAAGGAGGCGCAGAAGGTATTTTCTCCTCACTCGTGGCCAATGGTTCGTGTAGGTAGCTGACAGCACATGGAGGGTGGTAGCGGGGTAGTAATCTACTTTCGCAAGGAAGGACGTGCGCTGGGAGAGGTTACCAAGGTAAGTGCTGCACTCGAGTATATTCCTGGTCACAATTTGCATGCACATGTTGTGTAGCTGATATCTCAACCCCCCTTGTCTTTTTTCTGCTCATCGCTATGTTCAGCCCCACGTAAAGCGCTGTTGTACTGCCCAAGCTACCGTCTTGGTGTCGAATCAGTCAAGTGAATGAGCTAATCAAATGTGGGATACAGTACTTGGTCTACAACGCGCGAAAGCGCGGCGCCGATCGTGCAAGCGAGTACTTCAAGCGTACCGAGAACATCGCGGGTGTCAAGGATATGCGGTTCCAGGCTTTGATGCCTGACATCTTGCACTGGTTGGGGATTAAGAAGATTGATCGGATGTTGAGTATGAGCAAGTACGTCACCCTCCAACAATCCCTCTTCTTGTAAGACTTGAAGATAAAATTTCGGATGGGGCATCTTGAACGACGGGAAGATGTGAAGTTTGAGCTAACAGTAAACCAGCATGAAGCACGACGCTATCGTCGGACAAGGGTATTTTCTCCAACCCAAATTTCTCATAGCGACCCGCTGACCTTATAACTCCCAGTATCCCAATTCATGAGCGTGTCGAGCTTCCTGAGTCCTGGATCCCCGCCGACTCCAGGGTCGAGATTGATGCAAAGATCACTGCTGGTAAGTCTACTCCCCCTATACCGTTCCTTGCCACGCAAGAAAGCCCGATCACTTTGTGGATGTGATAGGGCTGATGGATATGGCGTACCCTGATCTGCGATCCGGGAGGAGGCTAACGGGTGTATGAACGAAACAGGCTATTTCACAACCGGCCACCGCATGACGGAAGAGGAACTCGCGGCTGTCAAGGGCAGGAGTTGGGACGAGTGAGTTATCAATCTATTCTTTCCACGTGTCCACTCTCCCTTGAACCAAAACCTTCAAGTCACAAATTCCAACTTCCCATTCAGCAATGAAGATCCCGCATACCTAGCCCACTGGCAAGCGAGAGAAAAACCCTGACTGACATGGCCGGTGACCTAGTATCGACCATTAGAAGCACCATGGGCCGTCATGTGCGAGACGAGCGCGGGAGACGGGGGACGGGCGCGGGAGATGATCTGCGATGGAATGAGGAGCGGGATGTTGCGTCTTTTACGCCCACCCACTCAACTCTCGATGAACCTCTCCTGGAGGCAAGGTCTTGTTGAGTGATGGGCACCCGGCAAGGAATCATCCCCATATCTTGAAAGCGAAAAGCATGAAAGAGAATGAAATGAAATGGAATGCAAAGAAGCCCAAACGAAGCGTGTGTTGATACCAGTGCTCGTGTTAGCTAGCGTGAACCAATCTCGACCAGTCAGTCAGTTACCGGTAGTCAGTCAGTCAGTCAGTCAGCGCCAGTCAGCTAGCCAGTCAGTCAGTCAGTCAGTCAGTCAGTCAGTCAGTCAGTCAGTCAGTCAGTCAGTCAGTCAGTTAGTCAGTTAGTCAATCAGTCAGTCAGCTAGTCAGCCACTCAGTCGATCATTCATGCGTGGGGGTTTGCCACGGAACCGTCTGACAGGGAAGGTTTACGGAATATAATAGGTGATTACGTAGTAGACAGGCGGGGTAAGTTACTTGCCTACTTGGGCTACCGGTACCTACCCGCTTAGCTTTACCTAGGTAGTTAGTTCACTTACCTACCTCGGTACTCACTCTGCTGATCGCCTCGCATGGCCCCGCTTTGCCGTTGGTTACGGAAAGGGGAGAGGGTATGAAGGTGTAGGTAAGTGTGTGAGTGTGAGTGTGAATGAATGAATGAATGACAACCAAACACAGCACGCGTACGGAAGTGCTAGCGCTAGTCTAGCCTAGCCTAGCTAGGATAGGTAAGGTAAGGTAAGGTAAGGTAGGGTAAGGTAAGGAGGTGAGGGAAGGGACGGACCGGCTGACCCGGCTTGACCTTTTCTTTCTTTCTTTCGTTCGTTCTTTCTTTTTTGGGGGTTGAGTTGAGTGGAAGAGTGGGAGAGTGGGTGAGTGGGTTGAGTGAGTTGAGTGAGTGGGAGAGCACGACAGGCAGGCCGGCAGGCAGGCAGGCAGGCAGGCATTTATTCTTATTGATCGGGAGAGGGAAGCTAGGCAGCTCGGAAGCTAGGAAGCTGGCGGGCTAGTGGGAGGGTATTAGAAGTAGTAGTACCGGTAGTAGTGGTGGTGGTGGTGATGATAATAATGATAATGATAATGATAATGATAATGATAATGATGATGATAATGATAATAATAGTAGTAATGATAATGATAATGATAATGATAATGATAATGATAATGATAATGATAATGATAATGATAATGATAATGATAATAATGAGTTGCTGCTTCAAAAATAGAAGAGAGGAGAGGAGATGAGATGAGAGGAGATGAGATGAGTATGTGAAATGAGAATGAAAATGAACATGAAAATGAAGCGGATAGAACCGAATCAAATCGAATCAAATCAAATCAAACTAAAGTGAGCTGAAATGAAGCGAAGTGAGGTGAAGTGAACTTGCTAGGAGATCCTTCTTTCGCTTTGGTCTTCACTTTAGTCTTTAATCGGTGCCCGACTGCGGTTTATCACCCATTCCACGGGCACTTATCTAATCGATAAGGGGTGGGAGGAGGGGCAAGGGGAAGGAAAAGTAAGTCCCTTGATGCAGATGCAGACGCAGACGCAGATAGTAGTAGATGCAGCTCTCGAATGCAGTAGGGGAGGTGGTGCAATGAACGAACGAACGAATGAACGAATGAACGAATAAACGAATGAACGAATAAACGAATATACGAATAAACGAGTGTATGCACGCATAGAGCACGATAGACCAGCGCCCTACCTGCCTTTTCTCGGTCGACGAGCACTCACGCACCGCCATGTGGCTGGCGGCATTGGGCATGGGCATGGGCATGGGCATTGGCATTGATACTGGACAGAGTGCCAGAGAGAGAGAGAGAGAGAGAGAGAGAGAGAGAGAGTGGGGGACGTACGGGGAGTACGGGGAGGGCGGGGCGGGGCGGGGCCGGGTGGCGAGTGGCGAGTGGCGGCTGAGTGGCTTTCGGCTCTTGGTCGGTGGCTTGTTGTTGACTTGGCTTGACTGGTTGACTGGTTGACTGGGGTGGCTGGTTGACTTGGAAACGCGAGCAGACGTGGGCATTGCATACCGACAGGACAGGACAGTACAGTACAGAGTACCGGTAAATAGACTGGGCCGGAGGGCGGAGGTCCAGAAACTTACTTAGAACCGCTGCAGTCATCCAGGTCGGACAGAGTGCAGTGGGTGGTTGTGGCTCCGCAGCGGGGCAGGTAAATGGCCTGGACCGCGGCTTGTCGGGGTGGGTATGCTATGCTTCCCCCCCTGTGTGAGAGTGCGTGTGCGTGTGTGCGTTGTGAAAGTCTTAGTGGTGTTGTTGCTGTGGTTGGTGGGATCGGCCTCGCTTTTGCTTTGCTTTGCTTTGCTTTGCTTTGCTTTGCTTTGGGATTGAAAAGATTCATGGATTCATCGATTGCGTGGGATGGGCTGGCTGGCTGGCTGGCTGCTAGCTGAATTGCTGGATTGCTGGATTGCTTGTTACTTACTATATCTAGCTGACTGCCCCCTTTCGAGCTCGCTTCTCGCTTGTATATCTCCCCCCCCCAGGATCACCCATCTCGGTATCCCCAAGAGACTTTCAGAACTCTGGCCAGACCACGGTCCATCTTGCATTCATCTACTCATCTCGTCCTACCTTAACTCTCTCTTCAACCACAGTGATCTGTCTTTTCAACCCCCAAACCAAACTCATCCACCACCACCACCACCACCATCATGCCCTCCAAATCACAGTCCCGCAACGCCTCACCCACCACGCTCTCTTCTCGCCGCCCCAAACTCATGCGCGCTGCGGCAACGGCTCCCACCATCGCCACTTCCAATGCATCGAGAAATGATCTCGCGAGCTTGCAGCAAGGCACGAGAGCAGCGGCGCTGCTCTCGAGAGTGGCCACGTACGCGACCGCCCAGCAGAACTGTGAGAGAGAGCATCGGACGAGCATCGGGAGTGCGTGTTCGAGTGGCCACGGCAGCCCCGACAGCCCAGATAGCACGCAGGGTCTAGAAAGGAAAGCCGCTATGGTGCAGCAGTGTAAGTCCCCTCCTTTTCGTGCCATACTTCACCCATGTGTAAACGGGAAATGCGCACCTCGAACTTGAGAATATTGGTTGATGTTGATCTTGTGATAGCGGGCAACTACTTCAGCTTCCCCAGCTTTGAGGATTTCCAAGAGTACCAGCACCAGAGTGACAGGCATCAGAACGGAGATTGATGCCGTGTTACCCGGAGGGAGCACACACCGTACATAAAGGGACGGATCGAGACACGACATGATTTGATGACCAAAAAAACGGTAATTGGCTTCGCGTAATAGGATGGATGGATGGATGGATGGATACCCAAGGGGAAAGCAGGAATCGAGCACACAAGGCAATAACAGAACATACGATACCCCCAGGACACCGGGAAGGCAGGATGCAAAAGCCGGAAGCGCAAGGCAAGGCAAGCCAGAGCAAGCCAGAGCAAGCCACGGCGAGAAACTGGGACACTGGGACAGCATCGGGATCGGGATCGGGATTGGGATTGTTTGGATGGGGCCCGTGTCTTCTCGGATGGCTTCCGTAGCAGGCGCAGAAGGTCCACGGTCGCTCGCTCACCGCTGCCTGGCCTGGCCTGGCCTGGGCTGGCCCGGAGTCGGGTCGGGGGCCTTGTTGTATTTAGGATTCATGCAAATGCACAAACTACTAATTGTATCTGTTATGCATCTGTTGTCACCCAATCTCCAGATTGCTTGCGAACGAGAAACCTTGGTTGGATGCTGCTGCTAGAGTAGAGTGGACTGCGGGTCTGGATGTATCTTTTAATGATCGCGATCGACATCAAAATGGTAACTGGCTTTGATTCCGATTCCGACTCCGATGAGGAGCACCATGTCGTCGAGCTCTCGAACTGAGGATGTGATGAATATTGGTGTTCAAAAACGTGACACAGGAAGGGAAGGGCCGAGCCGATCGTCGTATGCGTACAGTAGCAATATGGGATGGTATCCATCGTGTGGTGTTGTTATCCTTCGTTGAATTCGTTGAAACATATACGAGGTACCGTAGCTCAGAGCTGTGGTAGTTCGGCTCAGGTCACGTGTGGCTTAGCTCAGCACGAAAATTAAGCGAGTGCAGGCGCACAGCCCATCATCATGAAAATTATACCCGCCACTGAGACTCTAGAATCAAAGACGAACGACAACCCATCTTCAACAACACAGCCAGCGACAGGACCCTATCGCAAACATGGCTGTCGGAAAGTGAGTAATCATACCATCCTCGATGCTCTCTTGACCTCGATTGCGTAATCCACGCAGGCATCGCGGCGGAAGGAGGGGCAGGCAGGGCAACATCTCGAGATGATTCAGGATCTGACACGACGATAGGAACAAGCGCCTTTCGAAGGGAAAGAAGGGGCTCAAGAAGAAGACATTGGATCCCTTCACCCGCAAGGATTGGTACCAAGTCAAGGTATGCGATCTGGGTTCGAGTGTGGGATTCGCACAGCTGCTAACCTGATCCCAGGCCCCTTCCTCATTCCAAATCAGAGAGTACGCCCCCATTTCAATCGAAACAACCCCCCGAATAACTCTAACAACTGTACAGTGTCGGAAAAACTCTTGTCAACAGAACCACCGGTCTCAAGAACGCCAACGATTCGCTGAAAGGCAGAATCTTCGAGGTTTCTTTGGCCGATTTGCAGAAGGATGAGGACCACGCTTTCCGCAAGGTCAAGCTGCGCGTCGACGAGGTCCAGGGAAAGAACTGCTTGACCAACTTCCACGGTCTCGATTTCACATCCGACAAGCTCCGCTCGCTCGTCCGCAAGTGGCAAACCCTGATTGAGGCCAACGTCACAGTCAAGACCACCGACGACTACCTCCTCCGCCTGTTCGCAATCGCATTCACCAAGCGTAGACCCAACCAGATCAAGAAGACCACCTACGCCGCCTCTTCGCAGATTCGAGCCATCCGAAAGAAGATGACTGAGATCATCGTCCGCGAAGCTTCCAGCTGCACTCTCACTCAACTCACTGCCAAGCTCATCCCCGAGGTCATTGGTCGTGAGATTGAGAAGGCCACCCAAGGCATTTACCCTCTTCAAAATGTGCGTTGCATCCCCACCGCAGTCAAGTCTCCAGATTCCCCCGTCACATACTGATACAACCCAAGGTCCACATCCGCAAGGTCAAGCTCCTCAAGGCACCCAAGTTCGACCTGGGCAACCTCCTCAACCTCCACGGCGAGTCCAACACAGATGAGTCCGGCCAGAAGGTTGAGCGGGAGTTCAAGGAGAAGGTTTTGGATGAGGTGTAAATGGGAGGGATACTAAAGGCGTGTGGCAATAACAAATGGATTTTTCTCTCATACATTGATTGCGCAAACACATTCCTCAATTTGCATTAGTCCGGTAGGGTCAGGCCAGGGTTTTGATTTGCGTATGGGCATATCGGCGTGACGTCTGGCATATGGCTAGCAAAATGAAATTCCAAAAAAAAAAAAAAAAATTACAATAAACCATGTTGGGACTTTTTCTGTAGAGGGATTATCTGAGACCGGGGGCCATGTGATAGCTTTTCGATTGGGCGTTTCTGGGATAACGCTACTGACGTCGTGTGCCCAGTTGTGCTTCAGAACCTTGCCCAACACCCGCTCCACATTCCGACCTTCAACCTCACATCTACGCTCTGTGCGCGCTGCAAAACTCCACAACCACAAGAGAAAAATATGGCATCCGACGAGTCGCTCCCTACCCTGAAGATCTTGATGATCGGGCCCTCTGGTGCAGGGAAATCAGCCTGTACGTTTCTTCCTCTCCTGTTGCTTTCCACCCCGCCATCATTATCCATTCCAGGTACAGAAAGATGCTCATACGCCTGCAGTGTTGATCCGGTACTGCGATGACCAGTTCGACAACGAGAGCGCGACCGCGACCATCGGTGTTGATTTTAAAGCAAGCCTTCTCCCCCCTCCTCCCCCCCACCCCTTCCCGCAATCTGTTCCCTTCCCTCCGACCGTGGATAGGTAACGAACGAGAAAACAGCTAACAGCAGCGGCAATAGATGAAAACCCTCTCCATCCACGGCACCCCCTACCGTCTCAACCTCCTCGATACCGCCGGACAAGAGCGCTTCCGCACCCTCTCGAACAGCTACTACCGCGGTGCCCACGGCGTGATCTTGGTCTACGACATCTCGAACCGGGACTCGTTCCTCGCCATGGAGCGGTGGTTTGACGAAGTCGAAGCCAACGCCCAGCCAAACACGGTGACCTACCTCGTAGGCGCTAAACTGGACCGCGCTGCGGGAGGAGGAGGAGGTGTTGGGAAGGGCGGCAGGATGGTGAGCGAGGACGAGGGCAGACGGTTGGCGGCCGAGAGGGGCGCGAGCGGGTGGTGTGAGGTCAGCAGCAAGACGAGGGAGAATGTCAGGAAGCCGTTCTCGGAGGTGGTGGGGGAGATTGTCAAGAGGCCTGAACTGATGAGGGCGGGGAGGAGGGGTAACGTAAGTGTGGTTGGAGGGCAGGGCGACGCGGGTATGTGCGCCTGCTAAGATCGCTACGAATGAGTGAGAGGGATGCTGGACATAAGAGGAGGTTGAGAGGGCATGGCATACAGAGCAGGGACGGTAAAGCTTTGATATTGGTAGCTTGAGAAGGACTACAGCGCAGACGGGCAGTGTCATGATATGTATGTCATGCATAGGGCAGGATAGGATACCATGGACTTGGAGTTTGGGAATGGTTGGAGAGCATACATGCATAAATGGCATTGGCTGGTTGGAGAGCATGATACCCCTAATAGTTACACGCTAGAATGTACATTCTCTATTCTTCTGAAAATGACAATCTATTCTTTTGGCGTCAAGAACTCCACCACAGCTGTAACCGCCGCCACATTAGCATCTCCTCCATTCTACTTCCTCCTAGAGTTTCTTTGTAGGCCGAACGTCAAGAGAAAGAAAAAGGAAAGGACATACCTCGTCTAAACTCCTCCGGCTTCTCCGAGATAACCCAATGGCCACAATCCACATCCACGACCCTGAACCGCGGAAAGAAAGCGCCAATGAGCGGTAAGGCCTCATCACTGACATACTTGCTCCTCGTGCCCCTCACAAACAGCGCATCCCCCTCAAACCTCGCCTCGCCAGGATCCTTGAACGGGAAATCGCCCAGATTGCCCAACGCAGCCCCCAAGATCTGCAGCGGCACTTTGAACCTCCGGTACGGCAGCTCCGGGGGCTGGTACAGGTTCCCCAGCAGGAACTGGCGCACGGGGAGCGAGGGCTCGACGGCGCTGAGGATGGCGTCGGCGTCGGCCTGGCGGGTCACGTCCGCGGCCTCGACCTTCTGCATGGCGCGGACGTAGGCCGCGAAGGCGGACTGCAGCGCGACGTCGACGGGCGCGTTGTCGACGGCCACGAAGTCGTGGACGAGCGCCGGGGCGCGCAGGGCGAGGGCCATGGCTGTCTTGGCGCCCATCGAGTGGCCGATCAGCGTCGGCTTGGTGAGGGAGTGCGCGGCCATGAAGTGGGCGACGTCGGCGGCCATGGAGAGGTAGTCGTGGTGCGGGTGGTGGGGGGAGTCGCCGTGGTTGCGGAGGTCCTGGTGGTGTTAGCCCCGGGGGGTTCTTTTTTTCTTCCCCCCCGCCCCCCAATCCTCTCTTCCAGTTGTTCTCGGGAGCTGTGGTTGTGGTGTTGAGGTATCTCGTTCTATGGCTCTGCAATGGGGACATACCACAGCGTAGATTGGCCGTCCTAGGTCTCGGGCTAGGGCTCTGTAGAGAGGGTGGTTAGTGGACTGAGATGACCTGGATAGAGGGGACGGGACCCTCACTTACTGATGCTCCTGTTGTTCTTCTTGGACCCGAAGAGGCCGTGCATGAATATAATGGCCCGCGGAGCATCCGAGGAGGGTCTTGGGGGTTCGTGGAGGTCGTAGGAGAGCGTCAGCGGTTCGCTCTTGGAGGCATAGGTTCTTCGCGGAGGTTGAAGAGCTAGAGGGTGGGGGGGTGTGGTTCGGAGGCAGCGGAGAGACGGCATTCGTGGTGGCATCTTGGAAGGTTGGATGCTTGGTTCCAAGCAGTATCGAGTTGGATGTGGTTATGTAGACAGGGGATTCGGATTGTGAAGAGAAGTTGAAGTTGGAGGAGTCGGGTCAACTTCGGTAAATGGAAATGTGTTCCTGCCTCGATCGCAAGGCCTTCATTTTCCAACCTCACGTCATGTAAGCTCTAGAAGTTGGCCATTCCATCCATCCGTGCTCTACTATACTACTCTGGAGTCCGGTGGACGAATATCACGAAAGTTGTTACCTGTATTTTTTGCTTTGTTTCGATTTGTTTTGATTCGCTTCGTTGAGCCAATCCCATGTCTGAGCCGATCAGACCTTATGGGGAAGGCCCAATTTTCATTCCTCCTCTTTTGGCCGTCGCTATAGTCAGTGGCTGCTCTGTCCAACGATTTCCTCAAGCATGATAGGATGCTGCACTCTCATCTCAGATCCGTAGGCTTAGCCGGGCCTCACTTTGGCCGCATCTTTATGTTCGGCCGAGATCTGCATGGTCCGGTTGTCCTGTCTTAGCTTTAAAATCACAAATTAGCGCAGGGTATATATCGCATCTCCTGTTTACTTTCGGTTCAACCGCTCTTGATTTTGTAAGTACAAGCTGTGCTTGACTTTTACCAAAACTTAGTATTATTTCCTCACAATAAGTAAGCCAAAAGATGAAACATGCTGAAGAAGGTGCTCTGTGCCATATTGGGATACTAATAAGTCGTTACTAACCATCTACTGTACTAGGAAAGGTACAAACTAGAGATGTATTCTTGCCGAGGGACACTTGGGTTGCGAAAGCTACGTCTATTCAATGACCTGTTGCAGATAGAAGACGAAGAACTTGTTGAAATAGCAAGCAATCTTCGTCTCGGCGGGCTTTTTGCGGCAGCATAAACATCCCTCAAGGAAAGTACGAATAGCCTTGGTAATCACTCCTCGTCGATTGAGCGAAAGGAAACAGTTGGAACAGCTCGAGGAGGTTGATTGTTGATTGTCATGTCGAACTTCAAAGCAGGGTCCTTGTAGTTCATCGGCCATTTTCCTTCTCTCCCAACGATCTCGCGAAGTTGTCGCAACTTTCAGTCCCGAGTCTCAACCTTCTCCTGCTCGGCCTTCTTCTGGAGTGCAGTCTTCTTTCGTCGACTGTTTGACTATCTCAATAGTATCTATGTCGTCGGATGCTCTAGGGATGATGTTCTCCACTTAAGATCAACATTAATACTTACGTATTATGATAAGCTTACCGAGTAACAGATCGCTATACGAAGCTCACCCCATAACGAATTATATAAGCCAAAATGTCTTGGCCCAGCTTTCGAGGAGGAGGCGGGTCTTCGCAGAACATCACCTTCGTCTTCATACCGTACGGACAGCACCCGAAGAGCCCAGAACTTGGCAACAACACGGCCATGCCCACGCTTCGTCACCGTAACATGGACGACCATTTTCCCCATGGAGAGTAATTCAGCGAGAGCTCGATCTTTTGCCTCTTCAATATTGAGTCCTTCGTGGATTTCCGGAACCCTGCTCTCTGCGCATGGTGTTGTCAGCCAGCCTGCAGATATTCATTCAGCCCTGCCAACCAGCCGTCACAGCATCTGCCCTGCACAATCTTGAACCGGCCTCCCCAACTCAACTCTCGAACACCTAAACCAGCTCATCCCCGATACTGTACCTGTCTGCCCTTGCGCGTTCCCGGACCCTCATCAAACAGCCAGGTATCCCCGTCGCCATGGAGGTCGCAAACCGTGGTCTCGACCTCGAACAGGAGTTGACCTGCTCCGTAAGTACTTACTGTAGAGCCGAGGTCATGTGTCGCCTAGTCGCCGCGACCATGCCTGTGAGCTATCCCGGTACATATTGACCACCTGCTAAAGTGACATAAATTTTCCCTCTCTAGATATGCGCCGAAGTCCTCTACCAGCCGCTCACCCTCGTCGACTGTCTGCACACCTTCTGCGGAAGCTGCTTGAAAGAGTGGTTCCAGTTCCAATCCACCTCCGCGCGCAATGCCCCGAACGCCCTGTCCGCGGGTGCCACGAAAACACCATACACCTGCCCCTCATGTCGCGCGCTGGTGCGGGATACGCGACACAATGCGACCGTGACGACGCTGCTGGAGATGTTTGTGGCTGCGAACCCGGAGAAGGCGCGAACGAAGCAGGAGCGGGATGCGATGAGGGTCAAGTATGCGCCGGGCGACGATGTGTTGCCAAAAACTGAAGTGAGGGAGATGACGCTTCGGGAGAGGAGGATTGAGGATGCGGATCGCAGGTTGATGAGTGAGGTGCGCGATTTGAGTTTGCGGGAGGTCGGTGTTGAGAGGGAGGACTTGAGGAGGGGGGAGAGCAGGAGGAGGGAGGAGAGCTCGAGCTCGAGGAGGCTGAGGAGCGCCGGGGGGAGCGTGGACATGAGTCGGGATGGGTATGGGAGTGGAAGTGGAACGGGTGTTGGAGAAAGGGAGGGGGATAGGAGGAGGAGGAGGGAGACGGCGAGTGCGAGTGGAACGAGGAGGACTGAGACAGAATCTACAGATGAACGCAGGCGACGGAGGAGTATTGAGAGAGGAAGTACAACTTCTGTGCGGCAGATTGAACATCAGTCGTCGTTGCGGTCACTGATCAGTTCTTCGGACGTGGATTCGCAGGAGATGGAAGCGGAGATTTTGCGCCAGATCAGAGAGGAGGGATTGCTGGATGGGATCGACTTGGAGAATATCGATGTCAGTCAAGAAGACCAGATCAGTGAGAGGATAGCAGAGGCATTCAGGAGGAGACAGAGCGAGAGGGCTCGACAGGCGCCCGAGAGGAGGAGTGCTACGAGCGCGAGGAGGCCAGAGCCAGAGCCAGAAGTGGACTTCAGGCATACATCTGTATCTGGCCCTGTTTCTGCAGAGACATCTGGGGAGGATGGACCCCGGACCCGCTCGTCGAGCAGGAGGACGCACTCGAGGTCAACCAGCACGAAACCGCATTCGAGGTCAACGAGTGCCGTTAGTGCGGAGCGCCCGAGTCGACCGCCTCCGTCGGTGAGTGCTGCTCAGGCAGCCCATTTGGAGGTGCACTCGGGCGACGATGGCAGAAGGCATAGACGGAGGCGGACTGAAGACATTGGCGCTCGAAGATCTACAACGGTCCCTCGCCCGGTCGCTGGGACCGAAGCCAGACCTGCTGCGAAGTCATTGACAGATCTGAGTTCCAGTTCCAGAAGCAGTCCGAGGCCACACTCTGCACATTTGCCTACTGCACGCCCGATGTTCTTGGATGGTGTCCGGAGCAGTACTGATCCTCCTCCGCATCAAGTCTCCGAATTGCCCATTCTTGGTCAGGTCTCTCGGCCGTCACAACTATCACCAAATTCCAGTCCAAGATTCGAGAACTCGCAGCCTGCTGGTGGAGAGATGAAGACTAGAGCTAATGCTCAAGCAGATATCTTCCTACAAACTTCAGGTCCACTGGCAGGCCTCACGTCCCCGGACCAGAGCTTGGTGCCCGCACCACTCTCTAAAAGGGACTCCTCCCCAGCAGATAGGGCCGCTGCCATTTCGAGTGGCTCTCGGCCAAGTTCCTCTTCCTCCGGAGCGCCCAGGGCTCGCTCACAGCTATACCCTGAGCCCTCTCTGACCTGTGCTCGATGTGCAAAAACTCACATCGAGTATGAGCTCCATTATAACTGTGGTATATGTCGCAATGGGGAGTACAACATATGCTTGTCATGCTACCGATCCGGAGCTGGATGTTTACACTGGTTTGGCTTTGGACAATCTGCGTTTGAGAAATGGCAGATCAAGATTCAGTCTGGAGAGAAGGTGGAACAGCCACACATGCTGTCGGCGAGTCGATACGTCCCACCAAAGATAGTGCCAGGAGGAGCAGATGGTAGGAGGACTCTCACTACAGATGATCCACACAAGAGACTTCAGAGTGGCACCTTCTGCGCAAACTGTCTGGCATGGGCCAACGAATGCTACTGGCTCTGTAGTATATGCAACGACGGCGACTGGGGATTTTGCAACCTCTGCGTCAACCAAGGCAGATCCTGCAACCACGCCCTTCTCCCACTAACCTACAAACCAGCCGAATCTAACATCCCACACATACTGCCATCTCATGATCAGAAAACGCCCGCCTCAGCCTCAATCCTCACCGGCCCCGGCGTCATGGACCTAGGCAACTTCAAACCCCTCTCGTTCTCCACCAAGTGCGACATCTGTCGCTACCCCATCCAGCCCTCTCAATCCCGCTACCACTGCTTCTCCTGCATCAGCCGCGTCCCGGGCACCTTCCCAGGCGACTACGATATCTGCACATCCTGCTACACCAAACTCGTCGTCACATCGCGGCGCATCAGCGCCGACAACGGCCATAACGGGTGGCGTCGCTGTCTCCAAGGCCACCGCATGGTAATCGTCGGCTTCGAAGACAGCCAGGGCGGCCAACGTCGGGTTATCGTGCAAGGCCTCGTCGGCGGCCACGGGCTCAACGAGCAAGCCTTCCCCAACCCGGACCCCTCCTCGGGCGCGGAACTCCAGAAATGGACATGGGGCGACGGCGTGCACACCAAAGGCGACGACACCCACGCCAAGCTCGTGACGACTGATGTGATGAAGAGCGCACCCACCAAATTCCCGGATCTGGTGCTGGACAGCAAGTTCCCGCCCGACGGCGGCGTGGGCATGATCTGCGTGGCCCAGTGGAGCTGGTACCCTGCCCCTGGCGCGGAAGACGAGTTGCTGTTCCCCAAGGGCGCGGAGGTGAGAGAGTGTCGGAACGTAAATGACGACTGGTATCATGGAACGTATATGGGAAAACGGGGACTGTTCCCGTCGCCGTATGTCAAGGTCTTGGATCGGGTCTAGTCTTTCAAGCTGGTCGGTGGGCATCGGCAGTGGTGGACGAGGACGAGGCTGGTTCAGGTTTGTTTGATTTTATAGCAGTTCAGCGGGCGGGCAGGCGGGCGAGCGGCCACCTATCTCTGTTTTTTTTTTTTCTTTTTTTCTTTTTTTCTTTTTTTCTTTTTTTCTTTTTTTCTTTTTTTCTTTTTTTCTTTTTTTCTTTTTTTCTTTTTTTCTTTTTTCAGATACGGATAACCCGTTTACGATTGCTAGTAATGAGTGAATGAATGATTGATATTTCATCCGAGCGACTTGGCAAGTCTCTCCTGACTGTGTTTCCCTTTTGGGCCTTTGGGGTCGGTTTTCATCATCGTCTTTCCCTTTCCCGCTTTGCCGAAACGAAACGAATCGAATCGAATCGATAGCCGAGCCTGCGCTGGTATCATTCATGGCGCCAAAAAAAAAAAATTATATATATACATATATAAAAAGAGAGAGAGAGAAAGAAAAAGACGACTTGAGTATCTTGTGCTTGGAGCATCGGCAAGCAGGCAGGCAGGCAATTGATGGAAAGCGGTACAGACGCGAACACGCGAAACCCCGGACGGAGGAGACAGGAAGATGGAAGAGACCAAAACATATCTTATTAGCTAGCTAGCTTATATATGTACCTAGTCGCATTCCAACCTCGGACAGCGAGTTGCCCCGACTTGTATATAAGTGAGTGGATGGGAGGATTGGTTGATTGATTGATTGATAGGTTTGGTAGGTAGGTTAGTAGGTTGGTTGGTTGGTAGGGTTGTTTGTTTGTTTGTTTGGTTGGTGGGTGTTTTTCTGCTACAGGCAGGCGATGATGATGATGATGATGATGATGATGATGCCCGTTTTATCGCATGTGTATTCGTCGTGTACGGGGTAGAAGGCATTGCTTCGCGAATAAATGACTGGATGGAATATGCTAAGGCGGCTCCGAGAACTGGTGGTTCTTGATCATGTTCATGTTTTTTTTTTTTTTTTTTTTTTTTTTAAAAAAAAAAAAGCATGCTACTCAGTTCCTCTTCGCGCGCGCACGTGGACGATCGACGAGATGGCTCCTTTGTTTCTCTCTTCCTTCTTTCTTTCTTTCT